AGGTTCGTGAAACGCTCGCTTTCCCTTTTAAGTCAGTTTTGGAAATAACAAGCAGGGATGTAATCCTTAGGATGTGAGAAAAGGGGCTCGGGATAAGCCAGACAGTGACTGTTGCACCTGAGTTCTGGGTTCATTTTTCTGAAAAAAAAAAATATATATATATATATATATATATATATATATATATAGCCAAAAAAAGGGCGCAGGGGTTTATGTATTGAGGAAGAACAAAAGCTTGCTCCTTGCAAAGTTTGCTGGACTGCTGCTGTTGGACATGAGTGTCCCCATCAGCACCGGCACTGTGCACATCAACCCCCAGGCAAAGCACATTGAACTTTAAGCTTGTAAGTCAGCCCAGCGAGGCAGAGCCTTGCTATTCACACATCCTACTTGGTTACCCCTTGTACTACTTGGAGAGCGCTCTGAAATTACTTTCAGCCCTGAACACACCGTTGGAATATTTTCAGTCTGTTCTCAAGGTTTTTTGAGGGCCTCTGCTTCGGGTTCCTGTTGAGATTTGATGTGATTTTTTACTGTTGCATGCCAGAAAATGGAGTACAGAGGGCAGGGCCCGGTGATGCTGAGCTCTGAGCAGACACAGTTTAATTAATTTAACAGTCCTACACTCGTTCTGCTTTTCGAATGAATGAATGCTTTATATGTATAGATCATTTCATTCATCCCTCTACAAGACGGAGGGGAAAAAATAATAAATCACAGAAAACCAGCACGAGAGTGAAAAATACCATGTCTTCTCAAAACTAGATTTCAAAGAAAGAAATTAGAGAGACTGCATAGAGCTGCCACCCTAAGTGGCATTCAGACCAGCTCTGCTGCTCTAGCAATTCATAGGGTCCACACGCACAGTTCCACACCTCGTGCAGAAGGAAAAACAGAAATGGGAGAGACAGTGACCACACCATCACCAGAATGCAGTTCTGATCTGAACATCAGTCCAGCACGAGGGAACGTACTTATTTTCCATGCATGCTATTTGTTGATGTGCTCAATTTTTGTCTTACAGTCACCGACGACTCCCAAACGCTCATGCTGAAATAGAAACGTCTTTTAAGAGGGTTTAAGTATTTTGGTTTACAGCAGACCTTGAGAGAGAGGCTGTGTTTGTAAACCCATGCAGAGAGCAGCACCTCGCAGCCTAGGGCAGCGGTGAGGAGAAGACACAGAACTTCTCCTCCATCATCCCAAACTGCAAACCTCATCCAAGTGCCTCCCTTTGTTTCAGGCCCTTGTAGCCTGGAGCACTTGTTGAACCTGACGACAAGTGCATCAAAGTGGCTGGCAATTATGAAATAAACAAATATCATTTGAGGCATTTTGGAGCCGAATCCAGTAATACATAGATTAGCTTATTGATGTTGTTATCGCGCCGAATATTATTCATACTGCTGATATTTCTGCTGTGCAGTAGCATTCCATACTCAGCACACATCACATTATCTCGCTATGCAAAAGGCTTCATTAATCACACCAGACAATGGGCCAGGCATTCTCCCTTTGAGCCGGCAGTTTTGGATCTTCAGTCTTTTCACCTTACCTAAATGCCTCATCCCTGCCAACATGGAAAGCAACTCTTCAGAACAGATCTCCCTCAAATGCGGTGCTAAAAGGGAAATGTTATCATGTTCAGTTGAAAGAATTTCTCGCTTGTTTTATATCCTCCTTTCAATTTTTCGTGATTTGTGGAGTAAAAGTGGGACAGGCAGCAGGCAGGAAGAGAATGTGCTCATAGCACTGCTGTTTTCCAGAGAGAGGATCTGGGCAACAATACAGTACCAACTCGCCTTGGCAACAAGGAGCAGGCTCTGAAAGAAAGGCAGGGTGCTCCCATTGATAGGAACACTCTCAGGTGCAGTCTCCTGTCCTCCTGTAATGACCCAAAGAGGCATAAGATCTGCACAGAAGGACATCAGCACAGTTGGAGCAACAGAAGCCAAAGTAGTGGTTGCACAGGGCATTCTGTGGTGTAAAGCAGGCAGATGATTTAAGGTTAGACAGGACTCAAAGCTCTGAGTGGTCTGGCTCCAATTCAGCGTTGCGTCTCACATCTCAGAAAACCTAAATTCAGTTCTTATTTCTCCAGGGACGGGGGAGCTCAGCACTGTCAATCTACTTGTCCCTCTTCAGACAACAGCAGCCACTTCAATGGAGACTAGAAGCTGCTGGTTAATTCCTCATGTCTACATCTCAAACAGCAGCGACCGTGAATCACTGAGACCCCAGATCTCCCCGATACCCTCTCAGACTCATGGCCTTGGAGCAGCCAGAGAAAGGCTGGGCAAAGAGGATCCCTTCTGGTCCACTGACAACAACATTACTAGAGACTTTCAACAATTTCAACAGGCTCTGGATAAGGCCCTTACGTTCTTAATAAACACTGTATGGCTTTAAACACTGTATTCTTGTTCTTAAGTTTGGTATTAAATCAGCTGTTATCAGCGGCTCCTGTGTTAACAAGTTCTCGCTGGAGGAACTCATTTCACCTGTCCTGCTGGCAGCAAACACTGTGCTCTTCAGTAAGACAATGTCTTTTCTATTTATGCATCAGACGTGAGGAATAATAGGTTTCAAGGAACTGCAACGTTCAATAAAAGCGTTTTATTACATTTAAATTTATTAAAATTTAAACATTAAATTCAACATGTTAATTACTGCTTCCACGCGTTGACACTGGCAGTCAGAAATGGATCCACACAACTGCTCTGCCGAGATATGTTTGCTGGTGTTATTTGCTCTTTGATTACTAATGTATTATTAGTGCTCTTCATTTGGGACTTGATTCATTAACAAAAAGACGTATATGGGCATTATGCAAATTTCTGTATGCCTTTTACATAGCTACCAGGGCCTGCATTATAAATCTAATTGAAAAAAAAAAAAAAAAAAGAAAAGAAAATATATTCAATTCTGTCCTGGCTTGTGGGCAAGCTTCAGCTGAACATACAGTTGCTTCAGAAACCAAGGCAGAGCACAGAGGAAAAATCCCTTTTCAGAACATTGCTGTCTTTCTGCAAATCCCCTTGCAGTGAAATCAAACAAAACCTCTGGGCTGCTGTGCTTTGACTGAACTGACAGAATGGTGGTGAAGAACTGAGATCCCACAGCCAGATGATTGCTGCAGCGAGGTACAGCCTGCACCTTTCAGGGTGCTGCTAAATCTCCAGGGGAGAGCAGGATGCTAAAAGCACACATGGCTTCCTTCCTAAATTAAAAATGATGGATAAAGCTGTAAGATTAGTGCACATCAATCCTTCGTTTGAATTGAGAGATACCTTCATTTGGCAGCTATTGGGGAAAAAAAACCCATCATTTCATTCAAAGTGCATTTAATAAGACAGAACGAGACAGATTCCTTTGACAGTTTTACAGCTCTTATCAGATTACATTAAAATTAAATTAAAACAATCTAAAAGAAGTGTTAAGTACTAAAGGGAGAGCACAAACAAAACACTTCTCTTTGTAGGCTTTCAGGGACGGGGTACTGACGGTAGTTATCAGGGATGTGAGTAATAAGATTATTCTTCAGTCAATTACGAGCCCATCAGTGTCAGCACAGAGGATCACATCACAGACCTGACTTATAAAGCCTCAGAGGACGCAAGCACGCCCTGCACCCACAGAATAAATGGTCAAGGGGCATAAAATGGGTAATACATCGGAGGGGCCAGGTGACAGCTCCTCAGGACCTCACGTTTGCTTGGCTTTGGGTCACAAATAGGATATCAGCAGGGCTGGCACGGTCTGTGAGACAAACCATGCGGTCCTACAGGTCCCACCTCCCGGGCTGGACCGCTGGTTCCCTTCAGCTGGAAGTCTTGGTTGGGGGAATAACATTTTCCAGTATGTAAATATAATATACGCTCACAGCTTCTGATGGCAATAGAAGTGTTTGAAAGTTTTGATATTATTTTAGCAAGCGCAAATATTTTCAAAAGCGGTTTAGTCTTCCAGAACCGAGCCTGCTATGTCACCGCTACGGGCTTGACAAAGCCAAATTCTTTACCTGTTTTGAAAAATAACAAAATTGTAGTATATGAAAGTGTTTTCTTGTTCAAATGCCATGTAGCATTTGACAGTTTTCTGCGCTGACAATCAGCGATGCATTCAAAGTACGCGTCAGGCTGACAGGGCGTTTCATTGCTGACATTTGTAAATAACAAGTTTTTAGTGCCTCACCTCGGTGTCAGAGGGGAGATTATTTACTTTGACGTCGACGTTAGCAACACGAGCTCTTACTGGGGACTTTAAAAAAAGAAAAAAAAAGCGATTTAACTACGAAGCTGCTATGAAAACCTCATTATTTCCAAGCGGCCAAGGAGCCGCTTCATTTGCAGTGGTGAAACCCCACAGCGAGTCAGGGGGTAAAACACATCGTGGGGTAAAACATATCCTGAGGTAAAACACATCGTGGGGTAAAACATATCCTGAGGTAAAACACATAGTGGGGTAAAACATATCCTGAGGTAAAACACATAGTGGGGTAAAACATATCCTGAGGTAAAACACATCTTGGGGTAAAACATATCCTGAGGTAAAACACATTCTGGGGTAAAACATATCCTGAGGTAAAACATCCTGGGGTAAAACACATCCTGAGGTAAAATACATCCTGAGGTAAAACACATCCTGGGGTAAAACATATCTTGGGGTAAACTATCCAGCTTTGGGATTTTAGGCAAAGCCAGACCTATGATTTGTCTGTTGCCTCTTGTGAAGCAGCGTGAATGCTATTTGCTTTCAGGGCGCGCTCAGACTGAGGCGCTGTGTGGGGCTGGGCTGGGCGCCTCCCGTGAGGCAGCTCGCTACACTCTGCGTTTCTACGCGCCACAGCTCCGCTCCACACAACACAAACCCGCTCCCCCCCCGCCCTCCCCCTTCCCGCCATCCGCACAGCGCAGCGCGGCCTTCCGGGGCGGAGCGGGCGGGCGGGCGGCGCGGGGCAGGGCGGGAACCGTTGCGTTGGTCACGGCCGTAAACAGCGCGGCATGAGGGGAGCGGGCCGAGCGGCGGCCGGGCCGTTTGCTGAGAGCTCAACGTCACGTAGCCTCCTGCTGTGCCTCCGAGAGAGGTGAGGGGACGCGGGGCGGTGGGGCTCGGAGCGCTGGGTTTGGGTGGCGGGGAGAACGAGCTGGGATTGTCGTGTGGAGAAGGGAGACCTCGCTGCGCTCTGCAGGTCCCAGAAGGGAGGTGGTGGTGATGATGGTGGTGAGGAGGGGCTCGGTCTCTTCTCCCACTTCTCCATTCCAGGCGTTTGTGATGCTGCTGCTCAAATGCTGCGAGGCTTTCGTGTGACAGCTCTTATATTTCTTCATCTTACTGCTGGAGAAGGTTTGTGTTATATAGCCAGGTGCTTCCTGTCTATCTGCTTGCTTGTATCTGTGTTGCTTGCTTGTGAGAAAATACGTGATGCGATGCTAGCAACTAAGTAATTCATTAGCGACTTCAAATTTTTATTCTTCACCTGCCTTTGTTAATTTCGCGTGCGCTCCGTGAAAAAGCTTTTCTTCTTGTTCTCATTCCCAAGTGAAATGAGGTGTGTGTACACACAGAGTATCTGCTGATAATTTGAAATTATCGGCCAGATTCAGAAGACAGAAGGCTCAGAGTTCATGAAGATGATGTCCTCAAAGATGATGAGTACAAATTCGTAGGAAGCTGGGCTCTTCTAGACTAGTTACAGCCCTGGAGGTGTTCAAGGCCAGGTTGGATGGGGCCCTGGGCAGCCTGGTTTAGTATTAGATATGGAGTTTGATGGCCTTGCCTGTGGCAGGGGGATTGGAGCTTGATGACCCTTGAGGTGCCTTCCAACCAAGGCCATTCTGTGATTTAGGACAGACCTCTGAGATAGACCTGGCAAAGCATGCTGGGAGAAAGGAAGCAATCTTTCATGAACTAGCAACATGCTGCCTGTGGTACTGGAGAATGAGAAATAGGAGAGATGCCAATGGCATCTGCTGACTTTTACATCCATCAGGATATCGCAGTGTTCTTCATCGAGTCATGAAAATTACTTCTAGAAGTGTAAAAACAAGATCTTGAAATCTGCTTTTGCTTAGCTGTCCATCATGTAAAAGGAAATTGAAAGGATGAGATCCCAGATGAAGCGTGGCTTTTAAATTGCATACATGACATGAAAACGTAATCTTTTTTCAGACAGTGGCAGGATCAGATGGGTAAAATGGATGCCTTGATCTCACAGGCTGCAGAGGAGGAAGGCTTTCCTCTGTGCAGGGCAGCTGGGAGGAGTGAACGTGTGTGGCTGTGACATCAACTCATTTGTAGGGAGCACAGACGCATGGAAAAGCATGCCTAGCCACACGGGTGCATACAGTCTTGTCCATATCATTCTCATATGTACAGCCTTCTTAGCCAGTACAAATTTGTGATCATTTTTAACAAAAAAACAAACTTAAAGAACTTGCTTTGATTGTTGCAGGGTTTATAATTCGAGTTTACTGGGAGCCATTGACTTATCAATTGTTTATTTTTGTTCATGGGATGGTTTCTTGCCTTCAGAAATGGTTTGTGGTTATTATCACTGTTATTCTTTTCTCCTTCTGAAAACAGAGGTTTTTTTCTTAAGCAGTCCAGTCCTTCCCATGGGCCTATGCCCATGTGTGTTTTGGGTATTTCAATTATAAAATAATTGTGTCTTATCATATATCATATGTTTTCTTCTAGTGAAACCAGAAGGCTAGAATTGGAAAGGAAACTGGTGGAATACAAAAGTTCTGATGCATACCTGTAAGCCTGATTTAAAGACTTTTCATTGGTTTTATTTTAGTTACAAAGACTTAAGTATCGTGGAGTGCTTATAGAATTGTCACTCAAAAGACTTCTGTAACTGATTTTATATTCATATTTTAAGTGCAACAGAAGATTCATGCCTTGAAGTTACTGGTGAAATAACCTGTGATAACATAACTACCTTATTCTGTTAATAACTGGTGTGCATGTTAGTTTTGTGCAATGTTTGTGAAGTCAGTGTAGTGTGAAATATAGAAGGTGTTTCCTTCCTAGTGCTCTGTGCTGCAGTTATCATGTCACAGGACGCTTGAAAGTTTTAGGAAGTGCTAAAGGATATTCTAGGTTCTAATTTTGCTTCCTGGATTGTTTCTGCATTATCTGTTTAATGCAAGTTACACATGCAGTCTGGAATTAAAAAAGAAAAGCTTAAAAAGCTATGTGGTATGCTGGCTGTGCATTGGGACTGGATGTTCAGAAACTCAGATGCCTTATCTGGACGTGGTTGTACATAACATGTGCCAGGTTATAAGCATTGCTGATGACAGCCCTTTTGAGAAAGGCTAAACCATTAAAATTGCAAACATGTCACACGTTACCCATTCAAATTAATATAGCGTGTTTGCTTCTCTTAATAATTGCATTTATCTCAAAGCTTCTCCTTTTTTCCTCTCTCTTTTTTTTTTTTTATACATAAGCCATGAAATTCCTGTCCCAAGCAGCTCAGACAGAAGGGTAGCAGTTTCTGGAACTGATAGCTCTCCAGTGAGCATATGAGCATCAAAAGATCCTAGCTCTCCTGAGTAGCTCTGAGGGGGTTATGAGCTTGAGAAGTATTGAAACATAGATCTATTTTTAAAAGAAAATATTATGAAAGGGGCACGTTGTTTCTTTGAAACAGTGACTGTAGTGATTGCATGGATGGAAGCTTCCTAAGATGCTGGGAAAGGCATCTGGAATTCTAGAGAGGAGCAGAATTTCAGGCATTCTTGTTTATAGTGCTTTGTGGTTTTTTTGTTTGGTTGGTTTTTTCCTTAAGCGCGTTTTGTAAAGTTCGTAGAAGTGGCTTTTCAATTGTAGCTCAAATGAACGATGGGTAGGTGTCATTATGGCAGAATCCCTCAGGGAATGCTCTTCTGAAAGAGGGCCTTTAGATTAAAACGTCAGAAGTAAATAGAAAAAAGGAAGTCTGAGCAGGTGGGGCTACGTAAGGTGCTTTGTTTTCAGAGTTATTTATTTTAATCCAATGGATTTTGAACTGGAGAGATGATCCTGGCTGCCCCTGCTTCACACTTTCCCTTTGTAGGCATTAATACTCGCCCAGCTGCCTTGTGATCAGACAAGAAAATAGGTCTGGCTGAAAGTGGATCTGTTTATTTGGATGGGTGAGAAATGATTTAGGTGGATTTTCACCTGGATTGCTCTTGGCCCAATTTGCTATGTGGCTGCAGAGCAGGTAGTATCAGGACAATGAAAGAAGGAAGGCTTGGAGTGAGGTGCACCATCTGGTGCAACATGGGTTTAGGTTGGCAGCCTTAATTCACTGTTTGACTCGCGGTATGCATTCTTCTAAATACCACTTTCATTTTAGACATGTATATTGCATTAATTCCAAACAAACCTACAAAAATTTAAGTATATTTTTATCCTTTTGAACAGCAAAAGTTGTGTTTAAACTGTAGGTTATACAGCTTGTTGTATAATGTAACTTTGGGCACTCAGGCAGTCCTTATGCCAGAATTATGTACGTGTCTGAAGAAATGTGTTTGTGATACATGTGTTGGTTTTAATTTCCTACTGTTTAACTACAGTTTCTTTTTCCCCCTGTAGAATGAAAGTAAAATATGTGAGGCTGAAAAAGTACTTGGAAGAAGTAAATGAACGGCAAAAAAGAGCTCTTCTACGAAATCAGACGTTCTTAAATGAATTCAACGAGTTTGAAGCTCACATGAAAGCTTCGAGTTCAGAGCTGATTGAGAAGATGGAAGTAACTTTCTAGAAGACTTACTAATATAGTACTGTTACTACAGGGGTTGCTGAACTGGCATTGTCTGTCTGTTTTGCACATCAGGATGTTGGCCTAACTTCATCCCATATTTTAGAGTGCTCTAAGTGCCAGTGTTTGGGAGTTATCATTAGCATTATCTAGGTTAGGTCAGGGAAAGGACTCAAGTTGTAATGTTTTCATAGGGACTTTGTTATAAAAGCCTTAGTAAAATATAATTTTATTACTTAAAAAATCCTAATGCATTTCCTTGAAGTTAATTCAGGGTATGTTTCTAATCTTGCTGGTGTGATTGCCCTAAGTAGCTGTAGCTAGTTTTACTCCTGCTCATCACACTGTTTTCATCAACAGAGGTGTCACTGACTCTCCTCTTAAAACAAATTACCCTGTTTGAACTGTTTGGGCTGAAGTAGGTCTACAACAAGTCGCTATTGGTTCTATTTACTAAACAATTAAGTGGCAATATTTGAACAATGGTAAGAAAAAAAGTTTCTTCCAGCAAACTGTTGCATCACTCAGGTCTTTTAATAGTTTTGTACGTAAACGAATGTGGTTCATTTGCTTTCAGAGCTGAAACATGTTCAAGTTTTTTCTAAGCCGGTGAAGTAAAATAGTAAAATTCAAGGAGCATTTCATCACCTTGTGTAACTGAAGTATTAATATTTTGTGTCACTTTACTAAGGAATAATATGGGATGTTGCAAGGTAATATGGGTTGGAAGTGATCTTAGATTTAAAGAAGGGAAGATGATATGCCATTGATAGGCGGAGTCAGATTTTGGAGAGCTGAAAGTAAAAGCATTTTGTGGGGGAAGAAGTGTTCTATCCTCTTGCTAAGAGAAGTGGTATTCTTTAAAAGCATTTGGCAGGGGTGTTCATGCAGTTGCAGGTGTTTTGTTTTTTTTTCTTTTTAAATTTGCTAGAATAAGGGAGGAGAAGAAACAGGTGAGCTGTTTTAAGCCCCCGTTTGATGCTGACACAATATTGTGTGGCTGTCTACAACTCAGTTGTGATTACTTCTCTGAAGTGCACTTTGAATTAAAACTGGACCAGCCTTATCCTAGTGTACCACTTTCCTTCTGTTCCCATTCAGGGATCCATGCAGCTTCATATGAGATATCAAAATGTAGACTATGATCCTTTTAAAAGGGGCTTTTAAAAAGCCCATGTTCTGATTGCACTTGCACATCTTCCTTTAAATATTCTTTGGAATTTCTCTTAATATTTTTGGAAGCACTAGTAGAGCTTAACCTGAAGTAGGGAATGTAGCAGCAGCAGCATGCTTTATTTTTTCTTTCTTACTGTCTGGTTTAGCTTTCACTTGTTGCATTGCAGCAAAGGGAAGACAACCTGTGTATGCAGTTCTTAGAAAAGTTCATTTCAATAGGTGAATGTGCAACTTGAAATGTGAGTCTGCTCTTTGGAAAAATCTTTAATCCTTTATTGATATCAGTGTTAATGGAGTGTTTACTCCTCTTTAAATATAAGCTTTGTCACGCCAGTATAATGTGATAAATCCTATAAAGAAACTTTGTACCGTGGTTAAGAAAATATTTCTTTAAGTTAGTTGTCTCTGATTTCAGGAAACCTTGCTTTTGCATTAAGTAGAATGAGTAGTTGGCCCATGTTAGTCATAATGCAATATATTAACCCTGCCCTCCACCGTTCATCTTAAAGTAAATAGCCCCAATCTCTTTTCTCTCTTCATATAGGAGATTTTTATGGTTGTAATAATTTTTAATGCTTCTTCTGGAATGCCTTTAGAGAAGGGGCAATGAGAATTTTTTGTGTTGATTATCACTCCTTTAAAACACCATTGGCTTTGCACTTAGGTTTCTGGTTCAGAAGGTCACTTTTGTGTCATCACTGACCTCAGTGTACAGAAGAGGTGACCTGGGGCTGTGATAGCTGCCCTCCCTGCTGCTGGCAGTAAGGAAGCTCTCTGAAGGTGTAGCTCTCTCCCATGGTCTGATTGCTTTCTACTCTCCCCAACCAGTTTGGCAGCCCCATCCCATGGCTGCATACCACCTTCATAACTTCCTTGCCCAGCTATATCCCAGCCATTGTCTGCTAACTTCCTTTTTAAGCCTGCTGGGTTTGGTGACATTCACTGAACAATTTCCTAACTTCAGCTTGCTAATTTATAGTTTAGAGACTGTCCCAGGTGTGGGCATGCAAGTCCTCTGTGCTGCTTTCTTTGTGAGGCTGGGAATACCTTGATGCTAGATTTTCTTTTTCCCTTTTTTTTTTTCTTTTTTTTTTCTTCTTAAGCAGTCCCAGTGCCTACTAGTTTGCCTTTCCCATTTCAATAGGTTGTGTTGGTGTGAGTCCCAGTTGTGCCCTGGCTGATCTACACACAGTGTTTTCATTCAGTGCTTCTGTGTTGGTGCTTCTGTGCCATTTATTTTATTTTTCCTAGTTCAGGCTTATTCTTCTCTGAGCTGCTGAACAAAGCACTGATTACAAACCTTCTGTGCTGCAGTTATGAAAAGCCCTCTCGTTGTGGATTATTTAAGAATTATGAAGCATGTCATCATTTAATCTATTGTGGAAGTGCACTGACAGGAATTACCTTTTTCTTTTTTTTTTCTGGTTATAGCACTCCTTAGGAGTGCTTTACCATGACTATTTATACAATTTATTATGTGCTGTAGCTGAGGGGGGGGGAAAAAAAAAAAAAAAAACAACTTGGTTGTGAGAGATTTGGTGACGTTTGTTATTTTTTTCCCATTTATGTGCCTGCAGTTTGTTCAGTAATTTCATGAGTCTGTGTAAAATTGCGTAAGCTTTCAGGAAAATCCGGGACTTATGTTTTCTTTTGAGCATTGTTAGTTCTCTTGTGATCAGTTTCTGTTTCTTAGAAGTTAATGTTTATGATTTTATGAGCAGCCCCCATTACCTGGAAAGTAAAGCTTGCTGAGTGCACAGTTGGAATGAAGTGCAAGGCTGGCTAAGTTAATTGTTCTGAAGATTTATCTTCATGCATATTACCTGATGCCAAATAGGTATTGAAGTGCTTTCATTCAGTACCAGTGTAACTTGTTATGGGTGTTTACAATTACTAACAAACAGGATTAATTATAGGTGCTGCATGTGCCTGGCTTTTAAGCAGTAGTCCTACTATGAATGCATTATGTTTGGTCAATTAAACAATGTAGTGGAGGTGAGGACGTTTTATGCAGTTTTTTGTTAGTAACACGACAGCAAGTTGCCTTTCATGCTGGGTTGCTCTTCATAACATCTGCCTTATATTTTTCCTTAAAATAGCTCCATGAGTTGCAAGGTGATGTACACAACCCAAATTCTGAATTTCAGTTGATGGAGTTGTCTGATAGAGCAGGAATAATTTGATGTACTCAGTCAGAACTTGGTTTTGTAACATTTGAGTCAACAAGTTACTGCTATTTTGTAGACTTCTAGATGAATGAATAATAATCTACAATCGCCAGCAGTTATTTTTTTTTTATTTACAAGCCTTATCATTTATTCAGGGGGATGAAAACAAATGAAAAAGGATGCTCAGAAATTTGCAAAGCAGTATTTGCTCATTTGTGTTTGGTTCTTTTGGCCTTCTGTGTAACGTAATGGATTTGTTCACATTTAGGTACGGTATGGAAGAGAAATTAAAAGTGGGCTGTCGTTTCAAGAGGGTGGCTTGGCACAAGGTGACGAGGAAGAAGGATGCAATGAGCAGGTAATGTGGGAGTGGTGGTGGTGGAAAGGGGGGGATAAAAATGTGTGTTATTCCTGTAATGTTCTTTCCACTGAGCGACTGTGTTAAGAGGCAGACGCTGCTAAGCAGCCTTTACGTGGGGATTTTGTGCTGTCAGCTGTAGTGTGAAATATTGTTTAGAGCCTGAGTGAAGTAGAGAACCTGAGTAAAAAGTGCAATTATTTCAATCAAAGAGCTAGAATTAAAAAGGAAGGGGAACTCTGAGTGTTTATCGTTGTCTTTGTGTCGGTTTTTATGATTTCCATGCTGAATAATGCGTAAAAGGTATTGACCAAGCAGGAAATGTTCTTAATGAACAGTAATTTAAAAAATGCAGCTATTGATTCTCGTGGTGTATTTATAATTTTGTGTTTTGACCTTTTCTCAGAAGAAGCAAAAAGAGATTGCCTATCTAAGTAACAGACAAAAAGACTGACAAGGAATACTTAAATATATTCTGCTATATATCTGCAGTAATGCAGGCTTCTAATCCCTCCTCCTATCTCCATATAAATGATACAGTTCAAGACCATAGCTGTTTTCTTCACTAAAAGCAGTAAAGCTCTTTTAGATGAAATGTCTAAAAACATCTTGTAATAACTTGGAGCATGCTGGCAAGAGTAGTCACTTGTGACTATGTGTGAAACCCCCTCAGCTAGTCGATATTGTAATAAGCAAAAATGGTAGCATCACTCCATTATTCAGAAAAGCCAACAGCATGCTTGTCCCTTAGGCTACAGCATTCATTAAGAAAAGCTTACTGGGCTGAAAGCTGGAAACAGATGATAACGGGATATGATTTTCATATTTAATGCATTCCTTGGAAGAGTATGTGTGCTGCAGATTGATAGAAGAATCAACTGCTACTTTACTAAAAGACTTTCTAGTTTGCCCTATAGCTACCGATGGAATCATTCAGCCAAGAAATTAACTTTTTCTCCTTTTACCTGCTTTATATATCTGCTAAGCAGGCTGCCTGGCTGCCAGTAAATGTTATTATGCAGTTAAATGTTTGGTATTTAAGACTCTTATCAGAAAAGAAACAGAGGCCACACTATTTTGTTTTTATAGTAGGAGGAAGGTTTTTGGTTTTCTTTCTTCAGTGCATTAGCAGTTGTTAATCTGAGTTTATAGGAAGTTTTCCCCATAGATTAAAAAGTTAAAAACCTTGAATTTAGAGCATTCTTTAAATGTAATATACAAAGCAATGAACCTGAGCAACCTTGACCTATATAGGGAGGCCTCCAGCAGTTTGTGAATTAGGTTTTTAATTCAGACGCGTGAAAAGGTGAGTTCAGTTTTGAATACTGGATTCTACGATTAAAAGTGGTTGGTATGGGAGATGTAATTTCTAACCTATGGAAAAGTTGTTTTCACCTCAATACTAGAACATCAAGGGATAACTGCACAACTTAGATTTTGAAAATATTGTGGGCAATGCGAGAACTTGGTGTGTACCCAAATACGTACATTGCGTTACAGTGATCTTGTTGGTGAACTTCCTTCATTCTCCTCTTCTTGCTTCTTATCTCCATTCTTAATGTGAAGGTGAGTTCAGCTAGATAGCTCAGCTTGTGAACAGGTGATGATGCTCAGAGTCTCTGTGCAATCTGTGTTAGAGACCAAGATGGACAATTATAGAACCAACTTTCTAGAGAAGGTCAGGATCTCTGTGGCCCTAAAGCACCAGTGTGAATAGCTTGCTCTTTTCAGAGCTGTTGGGTATACGTACTTCTGGATTCTAAATTTTGGGGAGAATCTTTAAGTTCAGAAATCATATACCCGAACAGAGATCACCTAGAAAACCTTGGTTCTCCTTGAAAAGGATTTAAGCACCAGTATTTTTGAAGCCCTGTGTAATGGCAGCCCTATGTTACATATTCTAGGAGAAGTGCTGTATCGGACGGATCCTTGGCTGAAAGACTGGTATAATTTGGGTTTCTGAAATCCTTGTGCAGTGGAGTCCAATTTCAAATTGGAAATTTTTTCTTGAAATCCTTAGTCTTGTGCCTCTTGGAATGCTGTGTCCTCTGGATGCTGGGCGTAGGATACCTCCCAGGAATACCTGAGTGGCTGAGCATCCTTCTCTAGGCCAAGGGTGCAACCAGCTGAGAGCAGTACTCTGTGTCTGGAAAAGGCAGGCTTCTAGCTTAGCATCTCCTTGCTTGCTAAGGAGATCACTGCCAGGCAGAGGCACTACCTTCTTACACATACTGATGGGAGGGATTTTTTTAATCATCTTTATTCTCTTCAAGGTACTTTAATAATGATAAAAAAGATTGTTAGTGGAAGAACAAGTGGGGAGCCTGCACATTCCTTCCACTCCACAGCCAAAAAGAGTACTATAAGTGTGCTTTGTGAGAGATTTCGTTCAGCTCCCAGCTGGAGTGACATGAAAGTGATAGTTTTGTTTGCTGTTTTAGGTGGGTCATCTACACATTTTGCTTTTGGTGGTAAAAGCTGTACCTAGGCCAACTTTATCTGTTGCTCCAAGGACACAAAGGCAGTGAAGAGTCGTTTTTCCCTGTAAACAAGAAGGAGCCTGCTGGAGATGTACTTCTGCTAAAGCTCTGTAAAGCACTTGTACCTGATTGAATTGCATTTGTTTTGGAACACTAAACTCAGGAGCTGCTAAATCCACACAATACCTGCTAGATGTGTTTCAAAGCAGCAAGTCCAAGCCCCCAGAAGTAATTAGGAGGAATCCAAGAGCAGTGATGATAGAATAAGCTGTGAACTTGATCTCAGTAGCAAACCTTTACTTCTTAAAATAACTTCATGGCTTTTTGTTCTGCTTCTTGTTAGGTGGAATTTGAGCTTTTTAATGAAACGGACGCACACCAGACAAGATGCCTTTGTTTCCCTTAAGCTGGGCTTGGCAGCTGACTTTGTGTGGTAGGAAGAGGTCAGCCAGCAAGAGAGAGGAGTGGGGTGTGGAGGTGACTGTAAATTGCCCTGCCGTGATTTGGAGCTGAAAAGCAACCTGTGCTTAGTATGAACAATGGCATTGTGGCAGCTAATTTTGGCTTTGCATAAACTGGCAGTGACCTTCTGGTAGTGGCAGCAATTCCTTCTAAGTTTTTTTTTTTCTGGTTGAGTGAGCTTTCAAAGAGTTTAAAAAAAAAAAAAAAAAAAAGGCCAAGACACAGAAGTGGAGAAGTGGAGCATTTATAATGTTGGAATGATTTTTATGCAAGTTCAGCAGAGTTCTTGGGTGAAAATGTCATTTGAAATGTTTCTGCTTGGTTCCCAAAATTGTATTGTGGAAAATACAGTTCCAGCTACTTGTTGTTAGCTCAGTTTTTCCTGTTTGGTGTGGGTCAGCTGGAGGAAAGAACAGAAGACAATGAATCAAATTGTTGTTTGGCTGTGTTTTTTTTCCTTTGTTTGTTTGTTTTCTTCAGTCTTCCTTGCTGTGTGCAAGAGCTGGATATATAGATGAATGATGGCAGATGGAGATTTCAGACTCTCCTTATCCTGTCACCTTCTCAAGAAGACCCATCTCTGACATGCTGTGTGCCCAAGAACATCTCTTGCTGGTGCTGGTCAAAGCAGGGTGCTCCTCTGTGCAGACTGGTCCCACTACTGGTAGCATTGCTGGGCAAGACACAAATGGAAAGCAAAGTTGAATACTAGGATATACTGAGTGGTGAAGCTTGGGTTGGCTAAGGAGGGTAGCTCTTAGTGGCCATGGCTGCATTCAGTGACCAGTTGGCTCTGCAGGATGACAGAGGGCTAGGGGCAGTGTCAGAGGTAGGATCTGGGACTCCCACAGCAGCTCTGCAGCTGGTCCAGCAGAAGGGCGCACAGAATGAAGAGCCAACTTGGTGGCAGCTGGCACTATTCCTGCAGTGTGGGAGATGATGCTCATCATCTTACAGTAGTATTCACCATTGCAGGATTCTTTTTTGGAGATACTTTCAATGAGTTGTGCTTATTTTCAGATGTGATGGGGTAACCCGTACCAGATGTATTGGGCTCCAACTTTTCTGATCTATAGTGGAAGCAGCTGGCAAATTGGGCTGTAGAAATTCTGCAGAAAGAGTATTCACTACTTCTATTTACTTGAAAGCGAATGGACAAAAGAATATGTTTTCTATGAAGGAAACTAATACTGTAGAAAAAATCCCTTCAGAAACTAGCACACAATTCCTCAAGAAGCTTCACGTGCAGTGTGCTACCTGTTTGATTCTTTAACCATCTTGCACTGTGTCTTCCAGGTGCCACAGGCTGCAAGGCAGGCTGAAATTCATGTTGAGACAGCTGTGTCCAGAAGCTTGCATCACCCGCTGCCATTCTTCATGGGCCACTGCATGTCTGCCTGCAGTGTGCAGCAGGAACCCCCTCAGTCTGCTGCCTGCCCCAGCAGACTGACAACCTTGCAGAGTGATGAGACAGACGGGCATCCCATGCAAGCTGGTGGTGACATGCAGCATGCCAGTAAGCCTGATGAGCAAGGTGGCAAGTCATATATCCCCACAGGAGAGAAGATGCCCATCAGGGACAGCAGCTTGCACAGCAGTCTTCTGAATTTTACAGAACAGAAAAATTCCACTGAACTTTGCTCAGCATTACCCAATGGAGGAAGTATGCAGGGCAGGACTGCTGACTTAGCAAGTGACACATCAGTGGAGGAAGAGGTGACCCACGATCACCTGGTAGCAAGTGCAAAAGAAGTCTGTGAGCAGTCTGTCCTCTTGGCTCCTGCCCCTGAGCCCAGCATCTCTGGTATGTGGAACCTCTGCTCCGCTGTGCTGTAGCATGCTCACCCCAAACACACACATGCACACAGCTGCTGGGTTTTTTTTCCTACAACTCTTATACTTTGGTTGAAGAACAGTGGAACTCTCATTTGTTTTCTTTTTTTGTTCTTTTTCTCTTTTTTTTTCTTGGCTGTTTCCTCCTAGGCTTTTTATCAAAGGCTCACTGGGGATGAAAGCTGCTGGATTTTTATTCCTTAGTTAGGGTGTTTTGAGGCTCTTTGCTCACCCCTGACAGCAGAATACCTGCTGAGTATCCCGTACTCCATCTTCAAGGTCTTAGCTTTTTGCTTTTCAGCCTGAGCAGACCAAAGTGGGAGAGAGGAGGAGGAGGGGGGATGGGGATGTGCAAAGCAAAAACTAGCAGCGAGCAGCTGAACCTGGGCCTTTTGCATTGGTGCCAGTTTTGCAGTGCCTCCTACAAGGCTGCCTTGTCCTGGCAGCCTGCTTAAGATGGAAGCCAAATTTGAGAGAGGTCCTGCTGAGTACTCTCTGCCCCACTGGATGACTATTCTGTAAAATAAAGCTTTGTCTCTCGTTCATCCAAGGCAGGCTGATCTTCTAGTTGATGTGAGGTTTGGCCAAGTCTAATTTGAGAGCTGAAAGAAAGTGAAGATTTCTTCACTGCTGTGCCTGCAATTGTCTCGAAGTTGTTTGAGCCTGTTTTTAAGAGGTTTAATGTCAGTTTACTTTACTGGCAAAATAGGTAACTTCTATTTTGGATTAATTTCATTCTCCAAATGCTTATTCAGAATAGTTCACTTCTGAAAATTGGATTTGCAAATGTAGACCAAGAATCAGCACTTCCATGTAGGAGGCTAGATTAACTACTATTTGTTCTGACTTGTTCCTGCTTTCCTGAGGGATGTGATGGCTTGTCTTCCAGCTGGGATGCACATGTATGGGAATGGAAGGTTGCACTTAAAGGCTGCTTCCCACCATCTCACCTTTTCTTTTGCTATTGTGGCAAAATGTTTTCTCTCCTGCTTTACTTTCAAGTAAGCTAACAGACTTGTTCTTCAAATCACACTGACAAAGATTTGTCTCTAAGTAACTGTTTCTTCCTTTGTTTGTTTGTTTTTTTTTCTTTAAGACCTAGCAGAAATGTCTTCCCCTGCCCTGCCAGTTGATACAGCAATTTCTAGCTTTTAAGTTTTCCAAGCTATGTAGGAAATAGTAAAAATGAGCTTTTCCTGATGGAAACCAGTGGCAACCCTAATATGAAGGGATTTCTATACTGTAATGATCATGGTTTTCTTTACAGTCAATAGCTGTCATCTCCACGAGATGATCTCCTGTGGATTTATTTTTTCTGGCATCCTTTCTTAATTTTTTTCTTTATTACTATTAGTTTTCTATTTCTTTATCTATTCCTAAATAACTTCTCTCCTGATGTTTTCTTTCATCTGACACTCTTCCTTGTCACCGCTGTCAGGCTTTGTGCAGCGACAGAAGGCCCTGGCATAAGTTGCCATTTGTCACAGCCCTCAAGAACTGGGGCCTCAGGGAACCCATGCCTGAGTTGAGCTGAAGTGTTGGATGCAGTACCACTACCTGTGAATACTGTTTCATTCAAACCCATGGGGATATCTTATGGAAAACTGGGGATTTCTGTGGCAGTGCTTATTTATTACTGCAATAGTTGGTCCACTTAATTTTTTGTAATTTAAAGAGAAAGTGTTGTTATTAGGCACAGTTAGTGTTTGTACTCTTCTTCTTTAGACGAGGTAACTAATGTGCTGAATTTAAAAGCCACTGAAGTGTATGTTTCTTCTGCAAGACTTAGAAAATGTGCGGACTCTGGGTGTATTTTCCCTCCCTCTGTCCCCCACCTTACTCTCCCCAACACAGGGAAAGTTTTCTGAAGTTTTATCCTAAGAAAAACTTTTTGAGGCTTATCTGTTTCGTTACTTCTTCCAAGGCAATTTGGGGAGGTAGGAGATAATTTTGGGGTAGTGATTTTCATGGCAAGGTTCATTTTGGCTGATTCTGAGCTCTGGTTGCAAACCCAGAGCATGGCCAGGGTCTGCCTGAACTCCCCCTTGTGAGGGAAGTGCAGAAGGACACAGAATGTTGGGAGGGGGCATGGGAAGCTCAATGCAATCCCAGGCAGAGGGATGCTCAAACCTTTGAGGTGGGAGAGTGCACTAAGAAGCTCATCCTCTCTTAATTCCACATGTCACAGCTTACAGATTCAATTAATGTTCTGGGAGTAACGTTGTTATTACTTGTTTTTCCAGGACCCCAATGTAACGTGAACACCCAGCAGGCAGCCAGCCAAGACAGCAGCAGCAGCAGCACCCACCCAGCAGAGAACTCCTCTTTGCAGCCACCCAGCTGCTGTGCAGCAGAGGATGAGCCCTTGGGCAGCTCGGCGCCTGATGGGTATGTCCTTGCATCTGTTCTTCCTATATTTGTGTTCACGTCGTGCTAGGTACTGATCTCAGTGTCAGTCCCTGTTTTAATAGATGCCAGTTGAGCAGCTACTAATGGCCACCAATATACACTTGTGCAACTTTATCATTTCACATTTGCATCAGGCTGCTTGCTATGGAAACATCATCTAATTTACATCTAAATAGCTTACACACAGTTTTTCTTTTGCATGACACCTGTTAATCATAACATTTTGCAGGGAAGTTGCACAGGGTACTTGTCTTTGCTGGAAAAGTCATAGCTGAGCGGTGGTAATTTAACCTTTTGTTCTCTCTCTGTAGATGCTAGTGATGTCTAGCTGTTCAGGAGCTGACAGAAATACTGTGCAGTGCTCCTGAAGCCAGCTAAATTATAAGAAAGGTTTTACTGTTCGCTTTATCTCTGGAGCATGACTAAAACCAGAATGGGGAGTATCTCCTCTCACATCATGCTAAGCTGAATACCTTAGTTTCTTAAGGCCATGAAAGTGTGAGCTCCACTGCTATGTGTATCTGCAGAAGAGATCCAAATTTAAATTTGTTTCAATGGAAAACTGAAATGCAGATAAAGTTTCAGAAAAATGGCAGGCATGAAAGATGCCGAGGAGCGATACGTAGCCTCTCTGTTGCTGAGTTGGTAACAAGTTCTTTCAGAGTCCATCGTTCCAATGCACTTGAAATTCAGTGCATGTGCCTGAGTCTTGCAAAGTAATTCATGAGCTGGAAGTCTCGAGGAAAAGTTTGCAAGTAATTAGAGTGTGGGCTTCGTTTATATATACTGCTATGGAGGCTGTTTTGATGTTGTAGCTCACTCGGCAATGAGCAAAATCTGTGCTGTGTATCAGGGAGTCCCAGGTTTTTGGGGAAAGTGCCTCACTTCAGAGACATCATTGTAACAAGGTCTTTTTTGAGGCTTCTTGGAAAAAGAAGTTGGCTTTTATTTTCTCCCCTGGGAAGTGTTTGTATGTTGTATTTTACTACAGGGCAAGGCTTTTTTTTTTTTTTAAACTGAGTTTCAGCCTGCCTTTAGCAGCTGGAGGAGCACTAATCCTGATAACACTGTCAGGTTGCTAACCAAAGAGAGGCGATGCTGCAGGGAAAGGTCACTCTGTGCAGGCTGTGAGGCTCGCTGACAGCTCCTGGTGGGGTGATGCCACTTTGCTATCACAGTTATTAAAAATGGTGGCTGAACCAAAACCCATTTGTGCCGTGGGGCATCTCCACACCCTGTGCTGCATCTGCAGAGCTTGATGGGATGTCAGTCCTGCGGGGCTGCACGCCTCTTGCCTCACCCCTCCGGTGGGCTCTGTCCTTTTGGCATTCCTCAGGGTACCCTGCCCTTTATTCCGGGGCTTAAAAATGGATGGGGAAAGGGTCTCTGAGAATTAGCGTGCAGAAAGTGATGACTATTTTAAGGCCGGTGTTGAAGGGGTGGAAAAAGGCAGAGCTTATGCCTGTGCTGCTTCAGCTGCATTGAAGAGGACTTAGCACAGATGGATTGTGCATTACAAAATGTAACACATAATTCAAGCTGTCAGCTTAATCAGACTGTTTCCAGGAAGCAACCTGTAAAAGAGAAGGACCTCTTGTTTGCTGACCTCTGATCCGTAGCCTGCTGCAGATTGTCATACATTTTGTTTTTCTTTATGCTGGTGTCCCTTCCTTCCCCTTCCCTTTTTATTATTGTATCCCTCTCGAGTGGCACCCTGGAAGGACCACCCAGGGGGAGGGAAACAATAGGAAATGAGCCGGCCGCTGAAATACAGGTTTTGTAAGACTTTGGGGGAAGAAAAAGCACTGTTTAACTGTGTATGCGATCTCCCTGGCATTGTTTAGCTGATCAGATGTCTAGGAAACTCCACTCAATGCAGAGCGGCTCTCGTTTAATTGTTGGCTGTTGCTGAACAGACTGATAGAAAGCAGAACTTCTGCTGTATCTTAATGTAATTACAAAATAGTGCAGAGCTTTTAGTCGGTAAAGTGAGGTTGGCTGTGTAGCTGTCGGCTTCTGCATAAAAACCTGGGTGTTCAGCCGGGCTCCTCGGGGCTGCTGGAGGCCTGGGCTGGAAACTGCCACACAAAGCAGGCAGATCTACCCTTGGGAAGGCTCAGTCTGCTTTGCTTCACTGCTGAAGTCTGCACTTGGGTCGTTGTGCGGGTGCACCTTCAGGAGAAGCTCTCTGAGGTCCTGTTCCGTCCCACTATGGAGCACTTCTGTTCCCAGGGCTTTGGTTCTCCCTGCTGCAGAGCTCAGTGTCAGGTCCAACTCCACTGTGCTGATGTCCTGAGCAGCTGATGTGGAAATGCTGCAGGGAATGCTGGAATAAAGAAGCTGATGTTGACCATCTAAGGAAAACAGCATGTTGTAGGAAAATGTAACATGCCTTTCCCAGTCTCGTTTGCTCATGTGCTCTGTATAGTACATATAAATTAAAAAAAAAAAAAAAGCAAAATCTTGATTCCTCTCTTACTGCTTGCAACCATTTGAACCTCCTTGTGATTTACAGTATCATTTCACTAACCATTTTTCTGAGGCATTCATGGTTTTTCAGCATATTTTGTTTGACTTTGAAATATTCCATTTCCCAACAGCTGGAGAGAAACAGCTGGGGATATAAGAGTTGCCTGGCTCCTCAGTTGGGAATAGGGAGTATGTGTGGAAAAGACTTCAGTCTTAAAAAACAAAGAAGTCTGTGGGTTGCTTTGTTGATGGTTTATTTTCCATTTGTTTGTTTCTCTAAGTTGGGATTTGCAGTGAAGTTGATGCTAGGTGCTGCCAACAAATGCTTGTTCCTAAATTTATCGCTTTTTGCAGCCCTGCTCTCTGTGTATGCAGTAAATTCTTATTTCCAGGAGGGAGAGCATCCACTTAGTGGCTAATAATGCTTTGCCAGGGTACAGAGTAACAACTGGGAAAACGATATATTTTAGGTAAAAGAGCAAAAAAGTTACTGACTCCCCCATATTAACAAAAGGAGGACCAGGTTACCCTGGCTGTCACTCCATGGCACTATTCGCTTAATTGCACAAGATGGGAAGGGCTTTGTAGTTCTGCTTAAAATTAAATTAAGGTAGGGTTCCCATAAAGACCTAATTGTTGGAGGATTTTGAGAGAACTGAGGAAATGCCTGCAGGTGGACTTGACCTCCATACCTGTTCTGGCTGTCTCTTTGGGCTTTAAATAAACTTCTCGCCTGCTTTATTTTGCAGCTTCTGCAGCCAGGATGGCAGTCTGAAGGAAGACCTGGAGGCCAGTGAGGCAGTTGTCCTCTGTCAGCTCCCCAGGGCCAAGCCAGGCCAGCGGTGGGATGTGACCACACTGCAGGCCTCGCTGAACAGCCATGCTGCCCTTCTGGAGGAGCACGAGCACCTGTGCACTGAGGAGCTGGCCACTGTGTTACACAGCACGCTGGATTTGGGCGAGGAGGCATCAGGAAGCCAGGTCAGTTTTTGGGGGTGTGGGGAGCCTCTGTGATGATGTGTCCTGAGGCTTTCCAGTGTGTTTGGTAAGTCATAGAATTACTACGGCTGGAGAAGACTACTAAGATTATCCAATCCAGCCCCAACTGACCCTCACCGTGCCCACTGCCCACGTCCCTCAGTGCCACATCCCCGTGGCTCTGGGACACCTCCAGGTGACCCCACCACTCCCTGGGCAGCTGTGCCACTGCCTCACTGCTCTTTGGGAGAAGGAATTGTTCCTAACAGCCAACCTGAACCTCCCCTGGCGCAACATGAGGCCATTCCCTCTCGTCCTATGGCTGTTCCCTGGGAGCAGAGGCCGACCCCACCTCACACAGCATCCTTTCAAGTTGTAGAGAGTGATATATAAACATAGATACATACATCTGTGTATATCTATAGAAATGTACATGTATGAATATCTAAGTAATTGACACCAAGGGACTAAATTGCACATGCAGTTAAAGTGAAGCAGGCTCTGTGCCTCTGAACGCTGCCTAGTACCTGGGTACCCAGGGAGGACGAACAAGTAGTGCTCATTAATCCATCTTTGAGATGGCTAGGAAGTGTCTGGAGAGAACCTAGATTTTCTGCGTGTCTATGGGCTTTACCCCACAGAGCAAGCAGTCTATGGAGATTCTTGCAGCATCTTTTCCACCCTTTGGGCCTGTTACTGATTTAAGAAGCTAACACGTTTTGCCATGGTGCAAATTTATCGTGAGGCTTATATCATCTGCCTTTCTCTGTGGCTTAATAGCTTTTTATCATGAATGATAGTGGGTTTTTTTTTCTTTTTAAAGAAACAGAATTATGTTTGGTATGCTAAATATGCAGAGCATTTTACAGATAGCAGCATGTGCATCCTTTTTAAACTCTAACTTTTGCATTTATAAACTAACTTCAATTTTTGTTGGCGGTTTTCTTCTTTGCGTCTATGCAAAAGCAATGAGGGAGCTCATTTCCAGAGGAAGTGGGTCACTGAAGAACCAAGTAATCTGGAGATGCATTCCCTTTACAGGGAAAGAAAAACATGTGCATACACATACATACATACATGCGTATATAAAATATGAAATAACACCAGAGCAAAAATATTTGCCAAACTTTTCTGCCCTCTAATTTTTTGTGAGACATTAGCAAAGCAGTCCAATCTGTTTTTTGAATGTTTTTGTTTTAATAATATTTGAAAAATATCTGCTGATGGTAAATAAATACTATACATACATTTAAAATCTTATACACAGACTTGCTCTATGTCAAAGCTTAGTAACACAAGCTTTGTGGGTAAATATATAGTAACAATCTGCTTATTGCTACACGTTATGGTGGCCCACACACATGCTTTCAACATCTACTTTTCCATTTAAGAAAATCTATTCAGTTAAATGTAATCCCATGATGCATTTTCCACATTGAAACACCTGATTTCCAAGCATAGAACGGCAGCAGTGCAAGCTGAGACTGAAAAGCTGCCATGATGTGCTCCCAAATAAACATGGGCTTAATGAGGAGGGGATGGATGCTGGAATGAAAAACTTTCTTATGAGCCCCACTTGGTTTTGGTCTCAAAGCCTCTCCAGTTTCTTAGGTAAGCGTAGATAGATGAAGTTAAAGTAGTTGGGATTATCTCTGAGATGTTGGCCTATGTTGCTGAAGGCTGGCTCATTTATTAAACAGATAATAAGACCAGAAAGCTTGTAGACTTAAAGAATCTGGTCCATGCTTTGTGGTACAGAAGGAAAACAAAAAGCTGCCCCACAAGTAACAAAGACAAAAGAAAAGTACTCCTAAAACTTGGCTATATTTACACTCAGTTCAGCTCCCTATAAAAGCATCTACTTTCAGCTTAATTTTCTGGGGACATCATGTTTAATTAACAGAGGTCAGGCTAGAGCTGCTGCAAGGATTTGCACCCTGACAGCAGAGACTGAACTTGAGGAACATTCTGTGACAATACAGGTTAAAATCTGAGTCGAGTCTATCAGAAACTGTTGTCAGATTGGATTTTCTGGCTTCAGGTTCATTGACCTCGCCAGTGTTTTTGTAGCATGCACTGCCAGCAACAGCTGCAGACTTGCCTTACTGCTGTACCCGAAACGGAAAAAGGAGAACTTTTTATTCAGTCTCTTGTGCTTATGATGGATACGTGAGGCACAGAACACAGCTTCCAGAAAACTTAGCAATTAAAAGAATAATTCCAAGTTTGTGTTACTCGAAGGCAGAATGCAGTGCCCGTGCAAGCACTGATTTAACTTGGAGGTAATTCAGCATCTAGCAGAAATACCCTGCAAGCGGATTACTCTGTGAAGTGTAGATGAGCCTAAATGTACATTGGAAACCGTTGCCTCTCGAGACTCGGAATAATAGGGCTGTGGTTGTTTTTATTTTTTAATGCTTCAGGCTCCACCGCTGCTGAGAGAGGTCCTTGCAGAAGAGTGTGGAGATAGGTCATCTGTTCAGAGTAATGAATCATCTTACAGCTTGCCATCGATTCCAAATGACAGCAGGGAAATGGAGCAGGCAAAACATGTTCCGTGGCTCGACAGCATGGGAAAGCAAGGTAACAAGTGCTAAAAGCTCTGCCTGTGTGCTCTGAGCTGCCACCGTGCTCTGCTGTGAGATACAAGTGTGTTTTCCATCAGAATCTGCCAGGGACTGTGTTAGAGCTGCTGGGACTTAGTATTTGTAACGAGCTTCTGGTGATTGCCTTAAACTTCTCTGCATTTTGGTCATTCTTGTTACTTCTTAATGTGAATGCTACCTAGTTTTCTCAATTGAGATAGAAAATCAAGCCTTGTGGTAGTTATTAAAAAGGGTTCTATATGCATAGGTATATTCTGAAAATGCCTGCTGTTTAGAAATGGTGTGATACCTTTTTGTTTTGCTTTTTATGAAGCCAGAATGCAGAACAGATTTTCTGCAGTGAAAGGGTTGGTGCTAAGTGAGGTGTGCAGTGCCATTCTTAAAAGGTGGATGTTTGTGAAAATCCAGTTAATTTCTTCAGATAAGGAAGTAATATATTAGTGCTGTGTAGTAACTGGCGCCGGGAACTTGCTCAGCCTGCTCTCAGAGCATCCCTCACATCAAAGTCCAGAAGAGACAGGCAATTAGGTTGCAACGCTCTTCACACAGCACATGTAAACAAACTGATTTAGGCCCCCTAAATCCACGCCACTTTTATCCACGGAGGAGACTGAGACTTTGATTTAAACTAATTTTCAGCGGTGGGTATGATCTATGCCGCGGCTGTCGGGCTGCTGGACAAGATCGCAGAGTTACTGTTGGCTGTTTGTTTCTGAAATCCCATTGGGTCTTAAATTATTTAAGACATTTGGTTAGCTTTTCCTTTTCTCTGGAGCTACAGAGACACAGCAGCTCCGCATTCGAGTAAAGTTCACAGTAGGCGCCTCTTTTAAGAACGGTAATGGATAGTTTAGATCAATAAATAAGAGATAACAAAAGTGAGAAATTAAAGGGAGTAGGGCTTAAAAGAAAACAAACCAGTCTGATCGCTGCCACTTTGAAATGGGTTTCATTATGGTGTGTTCACATACAGAAGTCACAAGCTGGTGTGAAGATGAGAGCCAGGAAGAAAGCGTGGTAGGAAAGATTCCTATTACAGGTAAAAGTAAAGGCTGCATATTAACCTCAAATGTGGTATTCAACTTTATTATATAATCAAAACACAGCGTTTTTAGGGGCTCGGGTCTGCTAATAGTGAGTAAATTCAGCTCCTACATACTGAGCACAGAGATTAAACGTGGGATCAGAAAGTACGCACTCATCTTCACGTAAACCAAGATGGAAAATAACAGTGCCTATTTAATTCCTTGTAATCATGTTACACATTTAAACCGCGCGAATATCCCGTCATTTAGCCTTTCAGGTCCTCGTATCGGTGTTACAAAGGTCAGTCTCCGTGGGGAAGATCCAGTAATTATATGGCAAACTACAGATGTTTCTGATTTGATTCTTTTCTTTTCTCTCCTAATTGAATGTGTATCATTAGAATAAGCGCGAGGAAAAATCCCGCTAGACAGGAAGCTGTGCTTTTGCCTCTGTTACAAAAGCTGCCTGATAACACCAAATTTTTAGCAATAAGGTTTTATCAAGCCGTGTTCAGATCTCCCCGCAGCAGATGCATTAGGCTCGCTTAGGATCCTTGGGTTGTAAAGTATCAATAACGCGTTAGTATTCCGGGCAGAGCTTTTTGCAATAAGTCTCAATTTGCTTTTGCCTGATTTTTGCAAAGTCGTGGGCTGCTTCGTTATAAATGGGCATGTTTGGCTAACTGTTCATTTATGCAGGTGTGTACTCCGACAGAAAGGTGCGAGGGCATCTGTTTATACAGCTCTCGCTGTTGCCTTTCTGCTGTTTTACGACTTAAAAATAGCCTGTCTTTCGGAGGGCAATTCATTTCTCTATGGAGGTTTTCCTCTGCTGCTTTTTGAGCCTAATTTGCAGCTGAAATATAAAAACGTGCTTCTTGTATCCCTGAATTATACTGCAGCAATAATATTACTATGTTAGCCACATAAAACTTAGAATATTTTTTTTTTTCTCTGAGGCTTTGAGAGCGGAATGCTTTCGTTTTTCTTGCTGCTTAAAATGTCCTTCAGTTGCACATGGCAATGTAATTGTAAAACGTGAGCTGGGATGTTTATTTTTTTAGGTGAATTAAAAGCACACAAGCCACTTAAATAGTTCTCCTGAAATAAAGCACACTTACTTGAAAATTCATCAAAAATTTGGCAGAATTTAAGAGGATTGTGATTTGAGGTCCATCATCTGCAGACATCACCAGCAAGAACAATGTGAGGAACGGTGGTTTCCTCTAACTAATGCCAGCACAGATTTATTTTATTTTTTATTTTTCAAGGGAGAACGCAGGCTTGAATTTGGATGTGTGTAACTGCCCAGGCTTCTGGCTTGCTTCTCCCCATGCCGGATTCAGGATGTAGCATGGCTGTTTTGAGCCAGGGAGCCCAGCAGCTTTTGCATATTGGCAGTTCCTTCTGGCAACCTGACTCTTGGGCTGGGCTGCAGCTGGTCCAAAGCTGAACCACAATGTACATCCCTCTCCCAGAGCTTCTCATTGAATGGACGTGCTAGTACCGATATTTCCTAGTTGTAAAAATGCTGAGAAACTCCTCCTAGCCTGAATGCTGCAAATGGTAACTGAAGTTAAAAATGCTTTCTTCTCAAATCTGCTTTTTGAGCTACTTTTTTGGCCAGCGTTCTCGCTGTCTCTGGGAGTGAGGCTTTTCATATCTCACTTGAAAGCAAAGTTGCTCCTTTCAGCTGCGATTCATCTTCAGCCCATCATCTTCTCCAGGCTTCTTGTTCTTTCCTGGCTCCTCATTCTCCCTGCCTGTCACTCCCTGCCTTGTGCTCACCATTACAAGCCCTGCAGCACTGAAACCGTTCAGCCTTGCCTTTGGGGCTCCAGTGACTTATGAGGGGGTTTGGTTTTTTGTCTTTAGGTGAACTGCTACACACGACCATTTTTTTTTTTTATACAATTATTTTCCATCCAATAATGGATATAAACTTTTTTTTTTTTTTTCGGTGCCTACTGTATCCCTTAAGGGCTGTGAGTTTTGATTTAAGCATTGGAAGCATTGAGGTTTTGATGGACTTCATTGTGAGAGCTGAGAGTCTTTCCCAATAGGAATTGACAGGTGCTTCTATAATTCTGGTTTATTCTTTTTTCTTCTCTCAGAGGGGAGAAAAAAAAAAAAAAGGAACCAAGTACTTTATTTTAATATTCTGTAAATACTCCTATTTGTGGCAATAAAGATGTATTCTTTTTCCAAGCCTGCAGTTAGCTCAGGGCACAAGATTGATCCAGCTCGTACTTTAAGGTGATTTCCTCCATAGAGCCCCTTCTTAACCCTGCAGAGCCATGTCGTACTAAGGGACTTCAAAAAGAGTTTTGTGTTGTGTAAGGTACCTCTCAGCCTAAGAAATGCTGTTGATCTCACCCACATTTTATTAATGGTAACCTCAGTACTTCTGAAGTTACATGGGGGTAGAGGAGTGTATATGGACTCATTCTGCTTCTCTTGTTGGATGCCTAGTTTTTTATCTCAGGAAGACACGTAAAAGAAATGGTTGGCTTTTTACCTGTTCCTCAGGTAGGCAAATGATGGGAGATTAAAAATGATAAAATCCATTATTTTTGGTTTTGCAGATGACAGTTTAAATGTCTAATGAGTAGGAAACTGCTGGTTTTACTGAAGGGGTAGGTTTGTTAAATCTTCAACAAAAATAGATTCTCTTGCTATCCTTCATTTATGTCTTCCATTTAGATAGTAAAGCTGTAAAGTATTGGAATAAAAATGGCATTACTTCTCTGCTCATCAGGCTTTGCTTTCACAGGTATGTTCCATTTCCACTCCAGGTGGAAGAATCTCTAACGTAGACATAAGGAGGAAAAACCCTCTAAAGAATAATAATAGTATTAAAAATGCGTGTGTGTATAAAATAATAAAACGGTCCTTCTCACGTATCATAGGGAAACATGAAAGGGCACAAAACCAATTCTTTTCCTTTTTAGGTCACCTTTAATGAGCCAATAATCCTGCCAACACTTTTCCCACGCCCACACATCTTTCCCAGTGAGGTCCTGCTTTGAGCTGGACTTGAAAGGGTCCTGAGTTTCCACTTGGAGTGTGCTAATAAAGCGTTATTAAGTCTACCCAACGTTTTGCTTCCTTTGATATCAATCTATTACAAGCTGCTCTTGCCAAAAAAAAAAAGTTCATCTATACGTGATTAATCACCATTGGTTTGACAGAAGTACCTCGGCACAGTATAAAATTGTATGTTTTGCTTCAATTAGTTTGGATTACATTCGCCAGTAGGTGATATTTTACATTGTTCAACTTGAGTAAGTTTGGGAAAGACATCTTAAGTGTTTCAGCTGTGAATTCTGAGCGTAAAGCTTTGTTCAGTCTTTAAGTAGAGGCAGCAACTTTTGGAAGTGCTCTCGCTGGGCCGACTTGCTCCATCAGGATTCCATGAGCCCTCTGGTCATCAGGTGTGTACCCTCTTGAGAGGGCAGATCATGCATTGGTATATTGTTATGCTGAGAGTGTTTTATCCTTTCTTTTTTCAAAGGAAAGCAGGGGCAATATTTGTTGATATTTGACCACCTCCTGGTTACTGGCCACTGCAGAGTTCTGCTCTTAATTTGGAGCTCTTTTTCATCTGTTTGCTCATCCTCCTATCACCTCCTCTTATCAGAAGAGCACATCCTTCTATCAGATTCGCAGGTAGCCTTTATCCTCTCCCTGTAAGCAAGTTTTCTGCTGTATCGCAGGGGAAATCAGCACGTATAAAAGCTGTGTGTAGGGATCACTCAAGCCTCCGGTCCCAAGGCAGAGGTTTGCACAGTGGCTGTTTGTGTTCTGGCAGTGGCAAGGCAGCTGATATCCTGTGTTTAATCCCAGATGGCTCTTTGTGGATGATCAGCAAGTGCCGTAATTAGTGTTAATGTGGTGGAGGAGGCTGTTCAGATTTGAAGTTCCTCTGGGCAGGAGCTATTGTTAGTTCCCTATTTTCGTGCCACAGCTAGCAGCGTGGTAGCCTGGACTGAGCAGCACTCCTGAATGTGAATGCAATAAATATTGCCAAGGTAACTAAAACTACACAGCTTGCAGGCTCAGCTGATCCTGATAATATTCCTTTCAAGGCATTATTAACTTTGAAGTCTAATGACAGCTGAAATACCCAAGCTGCTAACTATTTTATTGTTGTGAAAAGTACACAGAAAAGGCAAAGTTCCTTTTTTGTGGAATACTCACTTGTGTACGAGGGAGATGCAGATCCACGTCTGGGTTGAGCTTGCAGAGGCACTGGGTTCATTTGCTCTCCAGCTACTCATGTTTACATATGTGATTATTGATTGTTATTGGAAACAATGACTAATTGCTGTGATAGCTTTTAATTGGCATTCCAGTTGCCCTTCTCCTGCCTGCAGAGCAACACCTACTGCTTGCATACTTGCTTAGGTCACAGATTTGATGTTTCCTCACAAACTGCCTTGGCAGTAAACTTCCTGTTTCCCCAGCTTGCATCTGGAAATCCAGCAGCTCTGGGAATTGCTTGCACTGTTCTCATTTATGGGCATGCCAAATCAAGCCCTTGGGCGTTGCTGGTAATGACAATATCTCTAGATGACTTTTTCTCCACTTCTCCTGGGACTCTTGCTGCAGCTAAGGGCTCCAAGTGTAACAGAGATGTTGGTTTGATGGCCAAAAAGTATGAGCTTTTTTTCTCAGGTAACACAGTTAACAAGGTATGAATGCTGTGAGTACATAACCAGGAGCTTTCTTCTCTCTTTCTTTGCAGAAGGTTACATCACATCACTTTCTTGTCACAAAGATGTTTGGCTGTACACTGATAAACGCTGGAATACTGGCCATAGGGCAGTGCATGGAGAAAATATCTTCTTCCTGGTTCTGCTCTGCTACAGTATGTTCTGGGTCAAAGATCATTTCAGCTGTTCAGCAGGACAAAATAATAGTGGTTCATTATGCAACCACGGCAGTTTTTCCTGGAACTGGTGGCTAATGAAGAAAAGTACACCCATTTTGTTTGGAACAAAATAGTAAAAGCTGACATGAAAGCTGCTTTGACCCATACAGACTGCACAATTAATTCTAAGTTGAAAAGTGTGGAGTGTTTTTAATTAATAGTGGTATCTCAGATCCTTTGCTAAGGAAGGAAGAATACACTGGGGAAAAAGATGTGAGGAGAGCTGTGTCATCTGTGGCAAAACAGATTCTCTTCTTTTGCAGTATTGCTCAAACAATTGGATTAAGAACTTTTCATTATTGAAGTCCCAGTTTAAGCTTAAAGGCTGTTTTATCAAGCTTTTTCAGTTGTGTCTACAATAGGCACTGGCCAGCCATAGAGTAAATACTCAAAACGCCACGTGTTTAACATGGAGCTGGGGAGCTCCAAAATATGTTGATTGCTCTGAAAGTAATGCCTCCTATTTATCTGTGGAAACTACAACAGCTACAACTGGCATAGTAACACTGTCTGATAAAGCAAATTCATGGCTACACAACAGTTTTTCAACAGTCACCACCATTAGCTGTGCATATTTGCCAGTAATGTGCAGGAGCCTGCATGCTGTCATCCAGAACATGGCTTGTCTTTCACATCACTGTCACCACTGCTGGAATGTACCACCCACCACCTCCCTGTGCTCACATCTACTGTTTGGTCTCCGTCAGTGTTCAGCAAGCGTTGATGAATGTCAGTCGTGCCATTTTTTTTCTGCATGGTGGAATTCAGTGACACACCTTGGCTTCATCTGCACTTTCATGTCAGATACTGCTCTGTCAGGCTGCCCCTCTGCTGCCATCTGTCACACAGCAATAACATGTAATGGGGCATTGGTGGGAGGGTTTAATCTCTACTGCCATACCACCAACATCCTAACATAGGAGGTATTATTTTTCAGAGCAGCCCTCATGCTTTCTCACCATTTGAACTGGCGGAAGGAAATCATTAAGCAGTACTTCTTTCCACTAGGCAGTCTCTTCCACTGCCTCACGATGTGGGCACGTTGTTGAGGTGTGGAGTGTTTAAATCTCCTTGGATGCTTTATAGGTATTGCAGGCCAGGTGAAATACCAAGCTCAGTTTTAAAGGTGATTTGGTGAGCTTGCGAGGGCTTGGAAGGATCCCCCATTGATGTGGGCATATAAGCAGATTCATAGAGGCTCGAGAGGATCACTTTGACTAATTGGCTATGAGTCTGATGTAACTAAAGCAGAAGTGGGGATTGATAGCCCAGTATTGTTTTATAATTGACAGATAGGGCAAAGCTAAGCTCCAGAGGGTCTCAAAGGTGAAGGACAAGTAGGGCGTGCTCCCATTTGATGCAGGGGAGGTGCAGGCCTGGTGGCATCTCTGCGGTACTGAAAACACTCTGGTAGTAGCCCAGATGTTCTTTGTCTTCCTGAAGAGCAGTGTTGGAGTAAAAAGCAATTTCTAGGAGTTTTGAACTGATTACATGACTTAGATTCTTTTATTACTATTTTTTACTTTCCTGAAGTCATGTGCAAACAAGCACAAATTAGTTCCTTTATAATGAGTGGTTTCTCAGTGCATGCCTACATTCCCCAGTCTACAGCTTTGAGCTACTGCCAGTCTTGCATCCTGGAAGTCCTCCATGGTCAGGGCTTGCTTAGAATTTCAGTCACATCTATATAGATACATGTATATAGAGGTCTTGTTGTGTCCTAATTATAATTTATAATGCAAAGTAGCCTTGTAAAGTGGGATTTGTACTTAAGCATCATGGTCTATGGAAACAAACACAAAGATGAGCAATTGTACTATTCCAGTGAAAGAATTTTATCTATTTACTTTCTTAAATCAGTCTGTACAGAATGGAAAACGAGATGCATAGAACGGGGAAGAAATAAAGGAAAGCATGGATAAAAGATTTGGGAATGGCTGACTGTTAAGTTGGCTGCTGAGTCATAGAAAAATCTAAGATTTGTGTCTCCCAAATGCAGCTCTCTATTTGAAAGGGAATAGTTAAAAATACTGACATATCAAATAGCATTCAGAGACATTAATTTGTACTAATGCATTTAAGGGGAAGGAGAATGAAAATAACTCTTCTTCCTGATTAAGGCAAATAAATTAGAACTCGAGGATTAGAAAGAAAATGAAGTAAAAGCATAAATCCTTGAAGTTTTACTTAAAGTTGATGTGTGATGCAATACAATTCTTAAACCCAATGTTTGCTCTTTTGTTCTAAAGCAGGTCAAAAATGCACAAACGTTTCTGAGTTCACAAGAAACCATCATCAGATCACTGAAGTGACATACAGCTGTGATGTCTTCAGATTTAATGTTTGAAAATTTATACTTTGTGTTTTTCACTTAGCAGGTTGTGTTATTGGAAATAATGGTTCCGAAGCAAAAGAAAGCCAAGAAATGTGCTCCGAAAGGAGTTCATCCAGTGAAAGAAGCGGTGACCTCTCAAGGTAAAGTTATTAAAGGATTTAACATTTGAAATGTTTCAGTGGAATGAGAAATGCCTGCAGAATGTGACTGAATCTCTGATGATTTTTACTTGATCTGAGGTTAAGGCTTATATTTATGTTTATCTAATAAAACAACTTAAACTCTGGTACACCTTAGAAAATATTTGCACCAAAGCCAAGTATTGTTTTGCAGCTGTTGTTTTCTCATTTTAAGACTCAATTGACATCTCAGTGAACCACAAATTAGCGTGTACAGCTGCTCTCAGTAGGGCTACTCAGAGGCCAGACAATAGAAGTTGTCAGGAAAAGGGCAGACAGAAAACATAAAGTCTTCAAGAAATAAAGTGATGGGTTTCTTCTCCATGTAGCTGAGATGTAAACTAGTTGTAACTGGATCATGCTTTTCACAGTCTGCAGACTGGTGTTTTTTTCCCGTTATTTTTGATACTGGGATATTCACAGCATGTCTGTCTTGCTTTCACACTGAATGTGTTTAATTGATGGCCTTGTAGTTACCTAAAGGATGCTGTCTATTTAATTTTAAACACAAACCAAAAAACAAACACTTTTTTTAATGCTGCAGTGCTTTGCTTTGGGTCCCTGAGCAGTAGTGTTAGATATTCCCCACGTTCTTCATGGGCGTGTAACGGTAATCAAACAGCAACAATCAAATTAGTGGTCAAGCAGCAGCAGAAAATAGGATATAGCACAGCCATCTCATGAAATATTGGCTTGGCTTTAGATTCTTATCTGCTCTTATTAGAACAGCCTTGCAAGTGGGCTCTGCTGTTGTGCGGCTCCTCAGCTGAAGACAGCCATTAATAGCACTCAGGAAAAGACTTTAAAGCATCCTGATAAATTTCTAACTCATCCTACTGATAAGACATTGATATCTTTCTGTAGTTTCTTTGTATTGTTATTGATGAGGCCAGTTTTGACACAGACGGCTATTCTGATTTTGCAAGTACTGTCTTCTGAATTAGAACACAATCTTCCTGCAGTTCTTCAGTACAGTTAATAAAGGCAAGCTGTAATCATATATCGATGAAGGACGTTCGTGCTTTTGTTTAGGATTAGGTCTCATGACTTCAACTCTTATTTATTTTTTTCCTCTCTATTTTTCAATCTATTTTCTAGAACTTAGTTTGCTTGAGAATGAGCTTCTGAATAATAATACTTAATGTTAGAAAGTTTAAGGGTTTTTCTTGTAGATGAATTTTGAAATACTAAATTTCAGTCGTTCACGGAAGCCCAGTGCAGCAGGCAGAGAAGGACAGAGACCTGGGGAACTTGCTTGCAGGATTGTTGTTAAGCACCTACATATGTGCATATGCACCTAAATAAGCACGTAAAATATGTATAATTAATGATGACAGCTATTTAAAAAAAACCCTTGAGTATTCTTTGGCATCTTCAGTAGTTTTTCAGATGCTATTTATTTGATGTCCTTTTTTTAGTGCTCTTTTTAATTCTTACGTGTGATAGATTTTAGCATCACTCTGCCCTGTAGCTTCATGCCTTCCAGCGCTGAGCAGCAGTGAGTGCACTGGTACTGATGGTGCTCCTTAAAAAAAAAACAACCAATCTTACAGCGACTCAAAGTTCGTATCCAAAATGCCTAGGAAAGCAATCCTCCCTTTTTAAACGTGAAGTTTCTGACTTTACTGCTTGTTTTGGCCACTTGACGTGGACTTTGCACAGAGGCAGCACGGCAGGAGCGGCGAAGGAAGAGCAGTGGCAGCATCTGGGTGCTGCTTTGCGGTCAGGACGCGGCGAAATTTCTTGGCCACTCTCATGTAAGCTCTCCACTTAGTGCAGTCACTTCTCGTGCTTTATTGCTTTTACAAGTGGTCTCGAAACCCACTACTTGAGAATAAACATAACTGTGTAGTACTGCTGTGGTACTTTTTATAAATTCTTCTTTGCTGTTTTGTCACTGAGCTGATGAGTGACCTCGAAAAAGACCCTGCTGGACCTAAATAAAAAAAATGGCTTCCTCTGATGTCCTGGAGACAATAATTATGATGTGCCAGTTAAGCCCAAACTACAGCTGAGGGATTTTACTTTAAAGCGGAGGCTTGGGCGCAAAAATGCATTTATAGCTCTTTGTCTGGCACCTCATTATGTGTGGGCCTGATTCATTAAGTAATTGGTTTGCAGTTGTTTACATGAGTATTAAGGCTTTCTATTCAGCAGCCTTTGAGAGATACATTGTGCAAATGTTGCATGTTATGAATGCAGAATGAGGGGCAGGGGACCGGTCCTATTGGCTAAACACTGCACTCTGTTGAAAAGCAAGAGAAAGAGATTGGGTGCTGCTTTGCATAGCAATGACTTTCTTAATAAGCTTTACAGATTAATACACACAAGCTATAAAAGATGCAAAGAGATACTCTTAGCACATTTATACATGCTCATTTCACTATTATGGTACTGGAGATGGGAAGAATTGAGCTCTTTCATATTCGGTTTTTCAGTGCATGTCTTCAGTGCATGAGACTTAATAGAATCCGATGTTTATTGTATTATAAATCATGGGGAAGTAGGCAGATCTGCAACAGTTTATTATTAAAGATTCTTTCAATGTAAATCTTTTTCGGCCATTGTATTTCCTACAGCAAAATCATTTTGTGGTTGAGTGGGGATGAAAGGCATAATGTACGAAGGAGTGAGTCTTAATAGGAAGCTGCTCTCTGAGTAAAGACCACTTGTTCCCTTTTGTTCAGAGGTGCATGCCAGAGCTTCCTCTTCTCCCACAAATATTGTCTGCTTCTGCCTTAGATATCAAACTGGCTTGGTTTTTTTTTTTTCCCCTGGACTAATTTACTTTATCGAGCTCCTCGTAGATGCAACTTTAGCCAGAAGAGTGAAGGTTTTGCGAGAGGAAAGAGCACGTTAAATTATAGAACCACTCGGGGGGAGAAGGTATCATAAGTCAGGCCTGAGTCTCCCCAAAAGAGCGGGCAGAAGGCGATGTGTGTGGCATTGGGCGGCCCTGCAGCGATGGCTGCAGCCAGAGGAGGTCACTAGCTTTCGGGATCATTCTGTGGTTTTGATGCAAGCCATTTATTTTCCTTCGTGACTTGTTTGCTCTGTCTAGCTTCCAAATAATCTGAAGATTAAAGCTGCGTTATAGACTGAGAAGCAAATGAAAAATGTAATTTGTCAGGACGTAAGCACGGTGTAAAGTATTTTAAACTTTGATTAATCTGCATTCTGGAAGTAATCCAGCCTGGTCCCCGGAGGCTGTTTTTTAGTCAAAAGCTGCCTCTAACAAACTCAGATTTAATGAGATGTAAATAAAAGTTTTCAGATTGTAATTCATCCTCTTAATTATTCTCGGAGGAAATATTTAATAATCAACCAGCTATAACTAATGGGATGCTTGGCTTGCCGTGCAAAGCAGCAGGTTGGCCATCAGGGGGCACTCAGACTTTGCTGAACTAGGAGCTCTCCAATTCATTTTGCATCTTCTACCTGATGTTGTTATTGCTATCATTTTAAATCTCGATGGTGTTTCATGGAACTTGTTTGGCATCTCTTGTCAGAGCTCCAGCCTAAAGTTTTGGGGTCAGGATTTTCCAAGGTATGCATTAAGCAGGATAAGGAAATAGCCATTGACAGCAATGAAAGCAAGGGAACACGGGGCAGAGTGGGGTGCTGCAGCCAGCATCCTGCACCTTAAGAGCCATGTGTGTGTAGGTGAGTCTGTGCCTGATGGTTGTATCCTTCTGCAGAGCTTGAATTCTCAGATCACTTCTAACAGAGGTCGACTGTAACTCAGGGATGTTTTTCTGCAAGTCCTGTAGCTATCACATCTGGTCTCAATCCTAAAAGCCACTGCCACAGAAACAGTGATGCTGTAGCAGCCGTGCTGCAGGGCGGTTAGCAAGGGTGGCATGCAAGGACCTTGCACTGTGATGGATTTTGGTCTGTTTTTCTAAGCAGGAATATATATATTTTTTTTCTTCATCATGATACACTGAAGCAGGGAGTGATCTTAAATGTAACAATGTCAATCTTTGTATCCTACAATAAGAACGATCATGTTTGCAGTGTAGTTACTTAAATTCAGTGTTATCGTTTCCATTCCTCAGCAAATGATGGCGTGTTGAATAGATTTGGTAGTGCATTCCCAACTCTGTAACTTCACTGCGTTTCTGTGATGCCCAATTTCTAGTAAACTATCAGCAGAAAATGATAGTGCCATCAGAGTTGTCCTGCAGCTCACAGCAAAGCGTATTTATCACACAGGGGCACGCTGAGCTGAGACTGTCACATCAGAAGCACCGGCACCGAGTAGCCTGGCTTGATACTCCTAAAAGGCTTTTAGATGCTTCCAGAAAATGATTTTTAAAGATAAATCTGCAGCTTTGCATCCTCACGTGTCACTGAGGAGAAGCTTCATCGCTTCTTTCAGTGAGGGTTATGAAGCACTGCCCTGTGAAGTATAAATACTCTGTTTGTTTTCTGGTGCCTCAGCACTGCTTCATGCAGAAGAGGCACATAGCCTTGAAACCTCTGGCAATATCAGCCATAGTGTCAGTGTTCCTGAAGCCCCCACGCTCCTCAATTTGTTTGTCTTTCTGATCAAACGTGACACTGTTTTGTTTTTCTTGATGCTTAGGTGATGTTGTTTTTTTTTCCTTTGCTATTTAGGTAGTGGTTGTGGGCTGTGTTGTTTTCTTTTTTTTTTTTTCTTTCTTTTAAGGCATTTTATTTAATTTTTTGTTCATTTCTTTTGCCACTGAAGCACTGAAGTTCAACAAGTGCTATAGCAAAAAGATACGTGGACTGGAGTAAACATTTTCTCTTGATTTTTTTTTTTTTTTCCCCCAGTGCCGCATCTATTAACTTGCCTTTTTGCTGTACTAGGTTTTTTTTCCTCTTCATATTAATTTTCTTTATGGAGGGGAAAAAATATTTTCTTGGAGCTTTTTCATTTCTTATTGTTGCAGAATCTTCAGCACAAAAAAGCCTATTTCAGCAGAGTAAAGGAGAGATTAAAAGGCCCTTTGAAGTTAAACCGGTTTGGGTTTTTTCTTTGTTAGAGCCTGGGTTGAGTTTGGCATTATTTTAGGGAAGAAGCAAATGTGTAAATGGATATCGAAGGGTCACTACAGGGGATTAGTCAAGGCAGGGAAACTGGCCTTACTTCATTTGTAGCCCTAAAATTTCTCCTTGGAGGTCTGTGTGGTTATTGTGCGCTCGGCATAGCAGACGATAACTTTCACGATTGAATTTCCTGACTTCTCAATATGGGTGTTTTGCAATGTAAAGATTTTCCTGCATCTTGACTAACGCTTCAGACATAATTTGAGAATTTTATTCCCTGTGACAAAGCTATCTTGCAATATTTTTGATTTGACAGAGTTGCTATTTCTGCCCTTCTGTTTTCCTGGTAGCATTTTCTGCATCTCCTCTAGCATTTCTCTGTGTGCCACCAGCTTCCATGCCAGACTGTTTCTTGGCATCTCCTTTTCTGCCTGATCTGTGGCACTGATACCTAGCTTCTGACAAACCCTGTCTCATACACCTTTGGGTTGTTTTAGTAGGGAATTCTGTTCTTAGGCATGGTAATTTCCCCTGGGAGGGGGAACATGCTGATGGCTTTTTGGTGGAGTGTGAACATCTGTCTTTGCCCTTCCTTCTGTCAGCACTGGCTGTTTTCTTCATGGGAAGGTGGGAGAAGGAGGGAAAGTTTTCAGATCTTCACAATCTTTGAATCACATTGCATTGGAAGGGACCTGAAAGACCATTCAGCTCCAACTCCTTTACTGTATTCAGAGTTGCCACTCACTAGACCAGGCTGCCTCATCTCTTGGCCATGGTGGTCCTTGCCCACCACAACTTCTCAGTGAGGCCTTCAGGTGGCCCTGGAGCAGTTGGAAGTGTGCTCAGGGTTGTGCAGGGCCGTGGGTGCTCTTCCACTGCTCATCCTGTGATCCTGGTATTGCATGGTGGTCCTCAGCCCAGCAGGGCTATGGATCCACCTGAACAGCTCTCACATGTCCAATCGTGGCCTGAACCAAGCGGAGCAAAGGGTCATTTTGAGGCTGCATGATAAAGACTTTCCACCTCCTTTCCACCTCCATTCTGGTGGAAGACGAAGCAGCAGGCAGTGTAAACGGTAGGTGTCAGCTGTGTGAGCTTGTTTTAATGAAATACTTGAAGGCAAAATGTTGTGCAGTCTGCCACGGAAGTCACCTCTCCATCTGCAGCTCAGCAACAAGTGGGTTCTCACTCTACGCCCAGGGGAAAACGATGTGGCTGATGGAGTTGCCTCCTCTTGAGCACAAGCTGTGGGCTGAGCCTGGGATCCATGGGGCAGCTCCTGGGGAGTGCTGAGGGTCAGGAAATCTCAACACAATGAGCAGGAGCTCAGCATGGTTGGCGTGTTTGAGGCCTCAGCCTGGAGGACCTGACCTGTGCAGTGTGTTCAGCAAGCATTTGGAGTGAGTGAATTTGAATCAGAAGTTGGAGTGTAGAGCAGGGTGGGATTTGACTGAATAAAACCAGAAGGGATTTGGATGGCACGCTGATGACTGTCAGATGCACTGTTGAAGGCTAACACATTTTTGAGTTAATTATTTAAAGAATATATTTCTAATTGTTTGTACTTAACCAGTACTGCTATTTTGTTGCTAGTACTTAAATGTTCTTTTGGTATTTTAGTTGAACTTCAGCTATGTTTAATGTTCTACTTCTGGGAATTAGTGAATCCCTTGAGAGAAGGGAGATTGAGGCTAATGGCATTCACAACTTGTAGAAAATGAATATAACTAACATGGACTTGCTCTTAAAAAGAGGAGTTGCTGTTACGTAGGTAGCTGTAATGTAATGAAACTTCCCCTGCTTTAAGTTGAACTTTCCAGTTGTAATCACAAATTCTCACTGAATACGGTGGTGTAACACAAGTGATGAATCATCTGTCTTTTTGTACCTCCTTCACGAATGCCTTCGTTGATGGTAGTGGGAATATTTTTAACTCCTCGTTTCAAGTAATTATGTATTAGCTGCCGTGTCTCTAAGTGAAATGCAGCAAATTGTGTGAAATTTTGACAGCTGATTGTGTTCTGACTGTAGCGACAGCTTCAAATTGCAGCTTGACATTTGCTTATGTTGGACTAGTTCACACAGTAATGTCACAAATATCTCCTATTTGATCTTCCTTATTAAAATCAGCTGAAGCTTTATTTTTAGAGCTTATTGCGGGATTGTTAATATAACAGTTAATTCTCCTACATCATTGCCCCTATGTGATTATTTCACAGCACCAACACAATACACACGCTACACACAAAAGATCAAAATGATTCCAGCTTGTTTGAGAGATTCAAAAGGGCCTGTGATGCTCTAGACACAAGAGCAGTCATTTAACAGAACAGAATCGCAACTGCATATACATCAAGGTAGATCAAAGGCAGCTGGAAGATTGCACATTTACATAGGGACGTGGGTGATGCTATGGGAACCCAGGAGCTGACTTGGAGGAGTGCGCTGGCAGGATGGGAAATAAGGAAGTTCAGTGAGCATCAATGGGGGGTGCTTTTATTTTTGTTTGGATTTTTTTCTTTACTTTCTTTGCATATCTGAAAGGCTGCAAAAGATAGATGAAGCTCTGGTGCTTTGTCCCCTTAATTCACTACTGGTGTACATCAGCAGTGCTAGCAACGGCTGCTTCCAGAGCACGCTGCCTGAACATCTGGACCAGTGTCCTTGTTGCATGATAATGTCTCCACCTTTTATAAAACATACAAGTGGGAAAAACAACCAAGGAGCGAGTAGTTACTTAAAAAAAAAAAAAAAAAAAGTCAGCTGAATGTATTTTAGTTTTGTGACATTGTGCTGAATATTTACAGTCTTTCCCTGTTTGCAGGCCTGAATTCAGGAAGGGAGCGATAACTGCTATAAAATCCAAAGGTAAGAACCAACTGTTAAACTACTAAACAACTGTTAAAATACTTAAAAACCTGTCTTTCTTAGGGAAATTTCAATGGCAGAAAGCCTCTAAATACAACATTTTTAAGGAGATGGGGGAAATGTGGAATTTCCCTGCCTCAGCACAGGAGCAGGCAAATAGTTATTGATGAGAAATTCTGGATCAGAGAGAACATGTTTCACAGTGCATGGTTTGGAAAGGCAGTGATCTTTGTGCTTGGTGATTGAAATCAAATAGGAGCAGGAGAATCATAGAATCATAGAATCATCAAGGTTGGAAAAGCCCTCCAAGATCATCCAGTCCACCTACCACCAATATTCCCCCACTAAACCATGTCCTTCAAGCCTAGTGGGGGAAAAACCTGACAATTTTTTTTTTCATAATCCCTCTTTGAAATACCGAGTACAGGAGTGGATGGGCAGCAGCATGTTTGTTTGTGTGGTTACCATAGGTGGGCTCACAACAATGTCTGTACACACGTGTGTGTCTGAAACAATTTTGTTTCTTGTGCAGGCTTTCTTTTGAACCTGGGCCCTGCATGTTTTCATTCTCCCCTATGTTTGATTTTACTTCTAGTTACCTTAACTGCTGGTTTCTGAAGTCACCTGTAACTCTGTAAAGGAAGGCAGCACTGGGACCAGAGAGTTTTTTGCTGGGAGCTCAGCCTCGGGAGCTATTGCATTCTTGAATGATACCAAGCTTATTTCACAGTTATGGAATCTGAGCTGATTTCAGGATACCATTAACCGTGGCTGCTTTGATGCCATTTGAAAGGCCTCTGTCACATCTCTAGCCTGCTTAGCTCTCTGCTGGGGAGCTGTGTGTTGTGGAGCCCTTCGGCACGTTTGCTCTCCTCCCACACGTTCAGCATGGGAACGAGCACGGGGTGCAGCCTGCCCCACTCTGCTGCTCATGGCAGACCTGCAGTCCAGGGGTCTGGGGATATAGGATGAAAGGTGCAGCTGCTGCATTTGTAGATAAGGCATTTATATAGCTTGTGCCATCAAAAGCACAAAATAGTGAACAGTGCTGCAGTCGAATATGAGCTGAAATTTCTGTATGAAGCTTGACAGTTTGCCTCTCTCCTGCCGTCTGAATCTGTGTCTGAATCTGTATTTGTGAGGCTTTTGCCTCATTTGGGGCATCAACTTTCTTTTGATAACTCTGGAGAAACGAGAATCCTCTGAAAACCTTTAGGAACAGGCAGTGCTGCTCTGGAAGTAACTGTAGGCTTGACATTCTAGCTTGTGGCTGCTTCCTATAGTGGGCTCTGAGAGAGAAGTATGTTACATGTCTGTGCACAACCTGCAGAGAGGTTTCATCAGAGCAGGGCAGGGGGAGGTGAAAGGTAGGATGTCTGTGCCCCTGCCCTTCCCATGGACTGCCCTGGGGAATCACAAACCCAAAGAAGAAAGGAATTTGTGCCTGTGAATGTTGTTCCCACCTCTGCTTCTGTTTTCTGTGATTCCCTCAACCTCTGCTTGTTGCTGTGGTGGGTGCAGTTTAACATTCAAATGCTGTTGATGCAGAGCCCAGTGTTGCTGCTGGTCAGCAGCACTCCTCAGTGGCCCTTTTGTGGTGAAGCAACTATTTTTTCTGAAGATAAAAGCGTGGCTTTTTGTTGTGGTTTTCTTTTTTTAATCAAGGGAAAAAGAAAAATTAACAGTTACTGCACGACTGAGCTGGCAACCTTCACACCTGAATCATCTCATCAGGCCTTCGTTGTGAAGAGCTCTGTGTACTTCCCTGTGTGTCTGCTGCTTTTTTTTTTTCCCTCTCCTTCCATGGGTCAAAGGAATTTACATATCGAGGAATCTCTCAAGCACTTCAAATTTAAATGTGATTCTGTTTTTCAGTGAAATTGCTTGCTAATTACCAGGTCCTTTTGTTAAAGCCATCCAGTTCTTTGAAGTCGTTTTTGTCTGTCTGTGGTCCTGTCACAGAGTGGTGTTTTTTTCCATTTGTGACATCATTGCCATTTTTATGCCAACTCTATGATGTCATGGTTATCCTGTGACTTCACTGTAGGGTCAAATAGAGGGAGAAAGTGGAACATAATAGACAAAGCTGTAATTCAGGCAGCAGATGGTCAAGTAAATTGCTTGAAGTGGAAATATTCTGTCAAACTACCTTGAGGAACAATGAAGTCAGCCCTGTAAATGGCTCACTGTTCCTCCACAGCAGCTCAGTTAGGAGACCACGGCTTGTGACAGCACAGTGCCAGAAATGCACACCTCTGCTGGGGGTCCTCAAAACAACCCTAACCCTGAGCTCCTCTATAAACCACAGTGTCTAGCTACCTCAAAAGAGCTGTAAAACAATATTGCCTGTGCTGCCACACATGAGCATGGAAAAGATTTTTATAATTCTCCCTTTATTTTTTTCTTTCACTCAGCTTTCTGGGGCGAATCTGACGATAGCAGCTCTGAGGCTGTGGATGTTTTGCGTCCACAAACTCACAGCCCAGAAGCAGATGACTTTGATGACTTCTATGATTGAAGTTCCACCACTTGCTTTTGGGAAGCAAATCGACAGCATCATCTTCCACAAGTTGAATGCTGCTGTCTCAGAAGTGCACCTCATAGGTTGATATTCGCATTTAAATACAGAATAAAGATTGCTTGGTATTCTACGCAGCCTCCTTGTATGTGTGTTTTTATCTTCTGTTTTTCTTTTCTGAAGGAAATCCAACTGAAGGTGTGTCCTCAAATGTCCACTTACCCCATGGTGGTTGTACAACTTTCTGCAGAAGGCAGCTGGGACCCACTGGCTAGTTCCTCATTTCTTTCTGTTACTGGGGATTGGAGCTGATTCTCTGCAGGTCCCTGCTCACAGCAAGCATCTCCTGCCCAGTGCCATACAAAAGGCAAGGGATGCATCTGTGTAGTGGCTAATCCTACGTGACAGAGATGCATGGGTTGTCACAAATGAGGTGTCAGTCAGAGTGATTGAGAAATTACACCTCTTGGGTCAAAAATTTGCCAGCCTGACAGAATTATTCTGAGAGTGGTCCCAGCTACTGTAAGAGTGAAATGTGGCTTTGGGTGATGCTGCTGTCCTTGGGGCAGCAATGTCATCATGCTGTGTGGTTTTATTTCTCTCTGTGATTCAGACCAAGATCTAGAAGAGGCACTGACCAAAAGGGAGCCAAATCCATTTCTGTACCTGCTTGTACATGATCCAAATGTATCTTTTCTGCTGTAGGAGAAGCGTGGTTGGGCTGCAGTGCATAATGGCCACATCACCAAAGTCTCCGTTTTTCTGGAAGCTTTGTAGGTCACAAGTATGCCTAGTAACAATACTCCCACTGCCCAGCTTGGCAGCTGCTTTTGTTGCAGTACGAGTGCAAAAAACACCATCTTCTCATACCTATATGTATTCTAGTATTTTGGTTACAGAGCTAACTGGGTTGGAAAAAAGAAAGCAAGCATTCTGGGTATGCATACATATGCTACTCCGGGCTGCCTGGCATGTTTGATCTTTATCATCTCCTGCAACAGATCAAGAAGAAGAAATGCATAAAATGTACATTTCTAATTCAGCACATTTTGGAACGGAACAGAATTTACATGCGGTGATCCTCAGTGATTTTCTGCTTTTAGTTGCTTTGTAAAATCTACGCTGGTGTTGCCGTATGGACATCACAATAATTGGATGACTCTAGGAGCTTCATGCATTTTTAATTTTCTTCTTTTAATTCCTTTTATCTAAAATTAAGTTCATTAAACATGAGATTTTCTTTCGAAGGGAGAAACCAGGGGACATATTAAAAAAAATCTGTTCATAATTATGATAAGTTCAAAAGCAAAAAACAGCACCCCAATTAAACCCTGCTGCAAAGCAGTACTGCATCTTTGAATACAGCCACAAATCTTTGGGTCTAGTCCATCAAAAATGATTTTTAAATGGTAACAATATTCTATTTAATAAAAAGAATGTGTAGCCTGAGATGAGCTTTGAAGAAGGCTTGAAAATGAGAAGAAATGGTTAGTATAGATGTCTGCTGGCTTGTTTCATCTTACAGGTTCCCAGTTTGACACTGGCAATGGTGCAGTGTTGATTATTTCAACAACAGGAAAGTGAGTGCTGCTAAGGATGGAGGGTGTGAGCGGGGTTGTTGGAATGGGAGGCAGCTGGACTCTGCAGCCACAGGATCCCAGCCAGCATTATAGGTCTGCCTGGGTCAGAGTGGCTGCTCTGTTTCTGTGCCAGGAGGAAGAGCGACTCTCAGCCTGCGTGCATCTGCACAAGGGAAGCTCTTGGGTGTCTTCCTTCACTGTGACAGTTTCTGTGCCTGTTGGACCACAGGCTGCTTTAGATTGGGCTTGAAAATGAATTTTGCGTTGTAGTGGCAGCACAACCAGAAGCATTAATGCTGTCCTGCTGCTGGTCCTGGTAGACAACAAGATATTTCTAGGAACTTCTCAGTACTCTTCTAGCACCATGTTGGAAGCTTATTTTCCTTCTTTATCTGCAGTCTCAATGTCATCTGGGAGACTTGCAGCACAATGAGTGTACGACCCCACCATGCTAAGGCAGGTGCCTGCTTTGTTGCCCCTCGGTGCTTTGTTCTGCCCATCCTTCAGCTGTGTAATTCATTTCTGAAGCCCTGCTCATCTTCTGAAAGTAAGCTCATGGTATGCCACACCACAGAGAAACCATTGCTATGTGATTTCCAGTGAACGTCAGACCAAAGTTCATCTGGAAAAAGTCTCTGCGAGCTGCGCTGCGAAGTAACACTGCATCAAATCTGCAGCGCCTTTGTAGTTTTAAGCTCTTTCTGAGTGATTCTGGGTTCTTGATGTCAGCCCACTTTAAATCTCCTCGCGTGACACAAGGCACCCATCACTAGTCTCTGGTGCTTTTCATTCCCTCAGTCCAGCTCAGCCTCAGACATGCAGCTAATGACAGATGACAGATGGCTTCGGGAGTTTCTGCTAAGGCAATATCTCTCTTCTGCTATTTAAGCGATAGCCGAGTTCCTCCAGAGCATATTTTTTATTATACTTTTATTGTGCACAGACTCATTAGATGCAAAACGTTCTGCCAGTCAACTTTATTCTGCTCCTTGACAGCTGTCATACCGGCAGCCTGAAGATGATGACAGGTGATGCTGATGGACAGTAGGACTGTAATCAATACAGCCTGAACAGATTTAAATCAGCATGCCACTCATCCACTGAGAATACTGTAACGAGAAGTCTTCACGTATTCCTGCTGTGTATTTGCAGTGACTTAGAGCTGCATCCTTTTTTGCACGTCACACTCACACAGCTGTACTGAGCTGAGGCCAAACATCAGCTTGTGCCTGAGAAAGCAAATTAGCAGATGGATAGGTGCTGACAAAAAAAAAAAAAAGCTGGATGAGTGCCGTCATCGAGTGAGGGGAAATAGTTGTGTAGGTATTGAGCTGATGTGCAGAGCAGAAATGAGTCTGTGGTGAGCTTTGTAGGCTAGAGTGTATTCAGGCTGCAGAAATTTGGGAAATTTGCATTTAAGAATGAGGAAAGCATGTGTGTGTGTTTTCAAGCACTAATATTCACACACACTGGTTGAAACAGAAGCTTCACAAGTCCCGCAAATATCTCATTCTGTATTAGCTGATGTTTTGAGAATGATCAGAATGATGTTTTCTTTTAGGCTGGCTCACTTGGACCCATGTATATTCACACGGACTTCCCCTCTAGACCCTTCCCCCGCTCTGTAGCCCTCCTCTGGATGCTCTCTGATGGCTTTATGTCCGTTTTGTACTGTGGCCCCAGACTTCAGGCAGTGCTGGCAGTAAGGCTGTGCAGCACAGAGCCTGGTGTCCTCAGGGTACGGTTGGCCTTTCTGGCTCCAGGGCACACTGCTGGCTCAGGTTTAACTTGCCATCAGCCAGAACCCCCAGATCCCTTTCCATGGGGCTGCTCCTCATCCCCCAGTCTGTACACGGAGCCAGGGCTGCCCCATCCCAGGTCCGGAACCAGCATCTGCTCTTCTTCATACAGATAGTGACCACCCTCAAATTTGTCAGGATCTTGGGCCTAGGCCTCTCTACCTTCAAGGGAGCCAACACTCCTCCCAATTTAGCACCATCCACAAATTTACTTAATATAACATCCAGATCTTTATTGGAGTCATCGATGAAAGCGTTAAAGAGAACCGGTTCAAATCCCAGAATCCCATCAGCAGCAACTGGGGCACCTCTCCGGCTGTGGGCTCCCCATACCCAACACATCCATGTTCTGGTTGTCATGGGACATTCTTAGGGTCACACTGCCATGGCTTTATAGTGTCCCAAGCACCTCCCTGACGACTGCTATAAATACGGGGACCCTGACAACAGAACTCCAGTCTCTAACAGACTCGTGTCTTGGTGCAGCCTTCTGGCACAAAAGCAGCAATTTAGAAGGAGCCTTCCCCCCTTTCCACCATGGATCCTTCCCCCCCCCCAAGAAGTGTAGGATTCAGGGGAGCAGCAGCAAACCTGAGCCAATGGATGTTGATCCACCCAAGGACGATGTTGAGCCCATGGAGGTGGATGTGCCTCCAGAGGAAGAACCAATGGAGATGGATCCACCTCCAAAAGAGCCAGGCAAGCACTATACTTACCTGCTTACCTGGAAACGTCAGTATATTCACTAGCAGCACATTAGGGGCCCTCGATTTCCATCTCAGCATTGAAATGTCACCATCCACCGGAGAGCCCCAGCTCCAGATGCTGCTCCCTATTACCCTTCCTTCCCCATCCCCCATCCTCATCCTTCCCCAAGATTTCCCACCCCTTTTTTCCCAAGCTCTGAGGAAAAGGGAAGGACTTGGACTGGTGTCCTCCAAGCTGCTGTCATTCTAGGGCAACAGGAGGAGTTCAGCAGACAGTCCTGAGCACCCTGCAGCCTCCAGGTGAGCCCCGAGGAAGAGGGCAGGACTGGGACTGGTGTCCTCTGAGCTGCCGTGTGGACAGCTGTGAGCTCCCTGCAGCCTCCAGGTGGTGTCAGAGAAGCTACAGAGGCAGCTGTTCATCTGGAGAAGCAGAAGACTTTGGTTTGGACAGGAGGAAGAGTTGAAGTTCAGCCCGAAAGTCCGTTCCAGCTGCTCCATTAGAACTTTTTGCTAAGAAAGGACAATAAACAATTTAAAACGATGGTAAAAAATAGTAATAATAACAAAAAGCTAAACCAGTAAGTGCCTCTCCATTTTTGGAACTTTAGAATCTGCCCTGGGACTCGAGTGTCCCCTCCCACTCTCCCCAAGACAGAATGACTTTGCCCTGTGGGGTGAGGTCCCAGCCAGCATTACTGTTCCCACTGCTGCCTCCTGCATCTGCCAGCCTTGCCCACTGAGCCACCCAGGACAGGCATTGCCAAAGCAGATGTTTACTCATCACTGTGTACCACTTGATACCATAAGACTCAAACAATTCCGTTAGTATTCAAAGAATAGATCCCTTGATGCTCCAGATAAGAATATGCCCCTTTGTGTAGACATGGGGAGGCACCCAAGAGCAATCTAGTCCTGTAGATGTCAAAGAGCGCTGTTATTTCACCTCTCAGAAAAACGTAAACAATCCTAGATTTCCTACAGGAAGAGCTCTCTCTTCACAGCCAGGAACAGCTGGTGGATGCCAAATTATGAGGAGTATCATGCCCTCAAA